TTCTCCACCACACAGCCCACTCCTCTTGCCGTTGACCACCGACTCACTGGCCCTTTTCCCGACGAGCCATTTGAGTCTAGTGGCCCCTGCGCAGAGCTTATGGGCTACCTCATGTACTTGATGACTTGTACTCGGCCGGACCTCGCCTTTCCCCTCAGCGTCCTCTCTCGCTTTGTTGCGACTGGGAGACACCGTTCTCTTCACTAGACAGCTGCTGTGAGGGTGGCGAAGTACCTGACGACTACATTAGTGATGGGGCTTGTGCTTAGAGGGACTCAGCCAGTTGTGTTGACTGGTCACTGCGACTCTCCCTACGCTGACTACGTGGAGACCCAGCGTTCGACTCAGGGTTACTATTTCAGTCTGGGTGCTGGTGCTGTGTCGTGGAGGTCTACATGGTCGTCATCTGTGGCTTTTTCCAGTGCAGAGGCAGAGATCTACTCTCGTGCCATGACCTTGTACGCTGACAACAAGGCCATGATCCTCCTGTGTCGAGAGCCTCGACTGGAGAGCAGAGTGAAACATATTGACGTGAGGTACTTCCTTCTGCGAGAGTTGCAGCGACGTGGCCAGGCACGCTTGGACTTTGTGGCCTCAGAGGCCAACACTGCCGACGTCTTCACCAAGGCCTTGGCGCCTGGTGAGCTCCATAGGTTCTGTGTGCAGTTGGGGCTTGTTGAGGTAGGCCCCCGACTGCTGTAGCCTTGTTGTTTGCTCTGCTTGTTTTGCTTTTCTATATATCCAAGTGAACTCTTGAACTGGCCTTATGGCCGCTTGCTTTGTGCTTGGAATTTGTGTGGTGTCCTTGAGATCCACCCTGAGCTTGCGTTGCTTCTTGTCTTGACTAGTCTTGTGACCGACTGTTCACCCTGATTGCTTTGATGCCCCTCACTTACCCTATGGGGGTGTGTCAAATGTTGAACATTGTTATGATAGGCTGTAGTGAGTAGCACTGTAGAGAGTACAACACTTTCTAGTTTTGCTATTTGTATCACTCACTTTCCTAGTTCATGCATTTCCGTTGCATTCTATTTCTGAGAGGTCGGAACAAATTTATGGTTCCAACATGATACGTAATTGGTTTCACTTTAGGAGATCTCATTCACGGGTGATTTTTTTTTTCACTACTTGAGGCATTCTCTCTAACAGGGTGCCACAAAGTTGTTCAAGAGGGTGCTCCAAAGAGTGCTTGGAAAAGCTCTCTTGAAATGAATCCTCAAAAACAGAAACTGATCTAGGTTTGCTACGCAACCCCAAAACTGCCATTCATTTAAACGGGACCCGCCCTAACTGTGACCGGCAAGGACACACGCCATTAGTGAGTCTATTTTTATAAGGCACATCACACCACATCACTCGCCTGCCCAGGAAGCCATGACTTCCGCTCTCCGCTCATCCGCGCGTCACCTGCGCTCCGCCCTCACCACCACCGACTCCGCATTCGCCGCCGGCCCCGCAATCCCCCGCGCGCCGTGCATCGCCGGCTCTCTCGAGTCTGCCGCGTCGCTGCCGCGCGTCCCCCAAAACCCCGCACGGCCCTTCTCCCTTGCGCCCCCTTCTCACGCGTCGCCGCCTCTGCCAGCATCGCCAGCAACATCAGACCTCCTCGCTCGCTTTCAACTCGTGTCATGCGCGCCGCGCTTTTCGATATCGGCGCAAGGCGCGCCGACCGTTGATTGGATCGCAGGCGCAGGCAGATCAGCTCCGCAGGTCTCCCAGCCGTCGATCTCCCGATCACCCCTGCCACGAAGCTTCGGCACGTTTTCGGCCCAGAGGCAGCGACTCAGCACCCTCGCCGCGTTCCCGCGTGCGCTTGCCGCCGGTCCCGTACCCTCCCCCGCCTCCGCTGCGCCGTCGCTGCGCGCGCACGACGCAGTGGTTGCGGCGCGGGCGGCGGGCGCGGGGCAGGCAAGGGGCGTGTTCGTTGAGGTGAAGAAGGGCGACGTGGATCGCGCAATCAAGAAGTGAGTGGCGGGGGAGGAGGGACGGGCAAGGGTGGGCATGAAGAATCGAGTTAGTGAGGCATGGAGAAGTGAGAGATGCATTCAGAAGTGAGAGAGGCGTTTAAAAGCGAGACAGGCATCAAGGAGTGAGAGTGAGCAAGAAGTGAGTGGTGGGATGGGGGAAGGGGGAGAGCGTGGCCATGAGGAAGTGAGCCATGGGGGAGCGGGGAGAGGGAAAGGGGGGTGGGGGAAGTCGCGCATTGGCTTCCGTCCATGCTCTCACCACCCCATGCTTTAACCCACCCATGCTCTCACGCACGCTTGGGAACAGCCTTGGGGAACGGTCTTTTCATTCAAACACGGCACTGCAGCCTAGAAAGGCCTTTGGGAAGAGCACCAGCGAGCAGGTGAGGGAGCAGGTGTTAAAGTCGTGGAGCAGGTGTTAAAGTCGTGGAGCTCTCTCCACCGCGCTAGACCACACCCAACCGCACTCGACCTCACCCTACTGCGCTAGACCGCACCCACCCTTCACCCGTGCCTGCGGTCGCTCACACGCCTCCTGCCATAGGCGTTCCTCGCAGCGGCTGGCAGCCGCAGTTGCCTGTCCTTCCCGACCACAACCTAGGTTTCACCTCTACTTGTTCCCACCTAGTGCCCCTCGGCTACTCCTTCTGGCCCCGTTCGTTACTCGCTTCGCCGGTTTCTAGCTTGCTGGTTCAAGGTAGTGGTGACGGCGGACAGCGCCATACGTGTGTGACGGCGGACAGCGCCATACGTGTGTGACGGCGGACAGCGCCATACGTGTGTGACGGCGGACAGCGCCATACGTGTGTGACGGCGGACAGCGCCATACGTGTGTGACGGCGGACAGCGCCATACGTGTGTGACGGCGGACAGCGCCATACGTGTGTGACGGCGGACAGCGCCATACGTGTGTGACGGCGGACAGCGCCATACGTGTGTGACGGCGGACAGCGCCATACGTGTGTGACGGCGGACAGCGCCATACGTGTGTGACGGCGGACAGCGCCATACGTGTGTGACGGCGGACAGCGCCATACGTGTGTGACGGCGGACAGCGCCATACGTGTGTGACGGCGGACAGCGCCATACGTGTGTGACGGCGGACAGCGCCATACGTGTGTGACGGCGGACAGCGCCATACGTGTGTGACGGCGGACAGCGCCATACGTGTGTGACGGCGGACAGCGCCATACGTGTGTGACGGCGGACAGCGCCATACGTGTGTGACGGCGGACAGCGCCATACGTGTGTGACGGCGGACAGCGCCATACGTGTGTGACGGCGGACAGCGCCATACGTGTGTGACGGCGGACAGCGCCATACGTGTGTGACGGCGGACAGCGCCATACGTGTGTGACGGCGGACAGCGCCATACGTGTGTGACGGCGGACAGCGCCATACGTGTGTGACGGCGGACAGCGCCATACGTGTGTGACGGCGGACAGCGCCATACGTGTGTGACGGCGGACAGCGCCATACGTGTGTGACGGCGGACAGCGCCATACGTGTGTGACGGCGGACAGCGCCATACGTGTGTGACGGCGGACAGCGCCATACGTGTGTGACGGCGGACAGCGCCATACGTGTGTGACGGCGGACAGCGCCATACGTGTGTGACGGCGGACAGCGCCATACGTGTGTGACGGCGGACAGCGCCATACGTGTGTGACGGCGGACAGCGCCATACGTGTGTGACGGCGGACAGCGCCATACGTGTGTGACGGCGGACAGCGCCATACGTGTGTGACGGCGGACAGCGCCATACGTGTGTGACGGCGGACAGCGCCATACGTGTGTGACGGCGGACAGCGCCATACGTGTGTGACGGCGGACAGCGCCATACGTGTGTGACGGCGGACAGCGCCATACGTGTGTGACGGCGGACAGCGCCATACGTGTGTGACGGCGGACAGCGCCATACGTGTGTGACGGCGGACAGCGCCATACGTGTGTGACGGCGGACAGCGCCATACGTGTGTGACGGCGGACAGCGCCATACGTGTGTGACGGCGGACAGCGCCATACGTGTGTGACGGCGGACAGCGCCATACGTGTGTGACGGCGGACAGCGCCATACGTGTGTGACGGCGGACAGCGCCATACGTGTGTGACGGCGGACAGCGCCATACGTGTGTGACGGCGGACAGCGCCATACGTGTGTGACGGCGGACAGCGCCATACGTGTGTGACGGCGGACAGCGCCATACGTGTGTGACGGCGGACAGCGCCATACGTGTGTGACGGCGGACAGCGCCATACGTGTGTGACGGCGGACAGCGCCATACGTGTGTGACGGCGGACAGCGCCATACGTGTGTGACGGCGGACAGCGCCATACGTGTGTGACGGCGGACAGCGCCATACGTGTGTGACGGCGGACAGCGCCATACGTGTGTGACGGCGGACAGCGCCATACGTGTGTGACGGCGGACAGCGCCATACGTGTGTGACGGCGGACAGCGCCATACGTGTGTGACGGCGGACAGCGCCATACGTGTGTGACGGCGGACAGCGCCATACGTGTGTGACGGCGGACAGCGCCATACGTGTGTGACGGCGGACAGCGCCATACGTGTGTGACGGCGGACAGCGCCATACGTGTGTGACGGCGGACAGCGCCATACGTGTGTGACGGCGGACAGCGCCATACGTGTGTGACGGCGGACAGCGCCATACGTGTGTGACGGCGGACAGCGCCATACGTGTGTGACGGCGGACAGCGCCATACGTGTGTGACGGCGGACAGCGCCATACGTGTGTGACGGCGGACAGCGCCATACGTGTGTGACGGCGGACAGCGCCATACGTGTGTGACGGCGGACAGCGCCATACGTGTGTGACGGCGGACAGCGCCATACGTGTGTGACGGCGGACAGCGCCATACGTGTGTGACGGCGGACAGCGCCATACGTGTGGCGTGGCAAGGAAGGACTACACTCTCATCTCATTCCCTTGTCGCCCTCCCCGTTTTTCCTCCCCTTCTTCCCTCTCTGCCCGTTTCTCAACCCCTCCCCTTGGCAGGTTCAAGATAAAGCTGAGGGCAAGGGCAAACCTTTTTCCCCTTGTTCTTTCCCCCCTCCTCTCCCCCTTGTTTACGGATTCAAGATCAAGCTCAGGAGGGACGGAGCTGAAGCGCCTGCCCGCCCGCCAAGGAGGCGGAAATTACTCTCCTTTTCTGCTCGCTCCTCTCCCCTCTTCCCTTTTTACCGGTTCAAGATCACGCTCAGGACGGACGGTGCGATAAGGGTGGCTCGGGCGAGGTCGCATTTCTGGAAGGGCGCAGAGCTGCGCTCCCCCCTCTCCCCCGCCGCGGCCACCCCCTCTTTGCAGGTTCAAGATAAAGTTACGAACGGACAATGCTATTCGGGTGGCTCGTGCGCGATCGCACCACTGGAAGGGCGCGGAGCTGAAGCGGCTGCGCGGCAAGGAGGCGGAGATCAGGCGGCAGCAGCAAGACTTCCGGCAGAAGCTCGCCTGGATCATGGCCAAACGCGCCAGGTGCGTGGGATGAGGATGGTTAGGGACCATACCATGGCTTGAGGTGGGGCAGGCAGGGTCCTGGGGATGGTGAGGCGGCAGCAGCAAGACTTCCGCCAGAGGCTCGCCTGGATCATGGCCAAACGCGCCAGGTGCGTGGGATGAGGATGGGTAGGGACCATACCATGGCTTGAGGTGGGGCAGGCAGGGTCCTGGGGATGGTGAGGCGGCAGCAGCAAGACTTCCGCCAGAGGCTCGCCTGGATCATGGCCAAACGCGCCAGGTGCGTGGGATGAGGATGGGTAGGGACCATACCATGGCTTGAGGTGGGGCAGGCAGGGTCCTGGGGATGGTGAGGCGGCAGCAGCAAGACTTCCGCCAGAGGCTCGCCTGGATCATGGTCAAACGCGCCAGGTGCGTGGGATGAGGATGGGTAGGGACCATACCATGGCTTGAGGTGGGTGGGATGTGATGCTAGGTGGGTGGGATGTGATGCTAGGTGGGTGGCATGTGATGCTAGGTGGATGGCATGTGACGCAAGGTGGGTGGGATGTGATGCTAGGTGGGTGGGATGTGATGCTAGGTGGGTGGCATGTGATGCTAGGTGGGTGGGATGTGATGCTAGGTGGGTGGCATGTGATGCTAGGTGGGTGGCATGTGATGCTAGGTGGGTGGGATGTGATGCTAGGTGGGTGGGATGTGATGCTAGGTGGGTGGGATGTGATGCTAGGTGGATGGCATGTGATGCAAGGTGGGTGGGATGTGATGCTAGGTGGGTGGGATGTGATGCTAGGTGGGTGGGATGTGATGCTAGGTGGGTGGCATGTGATGCTAGGTGGGTGGGATGTGATGCTAGGTGGGTGGGATGTGATGCTAGGTGGGTGGCATGTGATGCTAGGTGGGTGGGATGTGATGCTAGGTGGGTGGCATGTGATGCTAGGTGGGTGGGATGTGATGCTAGGTGGGTGGGATGTGATGCTAGGTGGGTGGCATGTGATGCTAGGTGGGTGGGATGTGATGCTAGGTGGGTGGCATGTGATGCTAGGTGGGTGGCATGTGATGCAAGGTGGGTGGGATGTGATGCTAGGTGGGTGGGATGTGATGCTAGGTGGGTGGCATGTGATGCTAGGTGGGTGGGATGTGATGCTAGGTGGGTGGGATGTGATGCTAGGTGGGTGGGATGTGATGCTAGGTGGGTGGGATGTGATGCTAGGTGGGTGGGATGTGATGCTAGGTGGGTGGCATGTGATGCTAGGTGGGTGGGATGTGATGCTAGGTGGGTGGCATGTGATGCTAGGTGGGTGGGATGTGATGCTAGGTGGGTGGGATGTGATGCTAGGTGGGTGGGATGTGATGCTAGGTGGGTGGCATGTGATGCTAGGTGGGTGGGATGTGATGCTAGGTGGGTGGGATGTGATGCTAGGTGGGTGGGATGTGATGCTAGGTGGGTGGGATGTGATGCTAGGTGGGTGGGATGTGATGCTAGGTGGGTGGGATGTGATGCTAGGTGGGTGGGATGTGATGCTAGGTGGGTGGGATGTGATGCTAGGTGGGTGGGATGTGATGCTAGGTGGGTGGGATGTGATGCTAGGTGGGTGGGATGTGATGCTAGGTGGGTGGGATGTGATGCTAGGTGGGTGGGATGTGATGCTAGGTGGGTGGCATGTGATGCTAGGTGGGTGGGATGTGATGCTAGGTGGGTGGCATGTGATGCTAGGTGGGTGGCATGTGATGCTAGGTGGATGGCATGTGATGCAAGGTGGGTGGGATGTGATGCTAGGTGGGTGGCATGTGATGCTAGGTGGGTGGCATGTGATGCTAGGTGGGTGGGATGTGATGCTAGGTGGGTGGGATGTGATGCTAGGTGGGTGGGATGTGATGCTAGGTGGGTGGGATGTGATGCTAGGTGGGTGGGATGTGATGCTAGGTGGGTGGGATGTGATGCTAGGTGGGTGGGATGTGATGCTAGGTGGGTGGCATGTGATGCTAGGTGGGTGGCATGTGATGCTAGGTGGGTGGCATGTGATGCTAGGTGGGTGGCATGTGATGCTAGGTGGGTGGCATGTGATGCTAGGTGGGTGGGATGTGATGCTAGGTGGGTGGGATGTGATGCTAGGTGGGTGGCATGTGATGCTAGGTGGGTGGGATGTGATGCTAGGTGGGTGGGATGTGATGCTAGGTGGATGGCATTTGATGCTAGGTGGGTGGGATGTGATGCTAGGTGGGTGGGATGTGATGCTAGGTGGGTGGCATGTGATGCTAGGTGGATGGCATGTGATGCTAGGTGGGTGGGATGTGATGCTAGGTGGGTGGCATGTGATGCTAGGTGGGTGGCATGTGATGCTAGGTGGGTGGGATGTGATGCTAGGTGGGTGGGATGTGATGCTAGGTGGGTGGGATGTGATGCTAGGTGGGTGGCATGTGATGCTAGGTGGGTGGCATGTGATGCTAGGTGGGTGGGATGTGATGCTAGGTGGGTGGCATGTGATGCTAGGTGGGTGGCATGTGATGCTAGGTGGGTGGCATGTGATGCTAGGTGGGTGGCATGTGATGCTAGGTGGGTGGGATGTGATGCTAGGTGGGTGGGATGTGATGCTAGGTGGGTGGCATGTGATGCTAGGTGGGTGGGATGTGATGTTAGGTGGGTGGGATGTGATGCTAGGTGGGTGGGATGTGATGCTAGGTGGGTGGGATGTGATGCTAGGTGGGTGGCATGTGATGCTAGGTGGGTGGCATGTGATGCTAGGTGGGTGGGATGTGATGCTAGGTGGGTGGGATGTGATGCTAGGTGGGTGGCATGTGATGCTAGGTGGATGGCATGTGATGCTAGGTGGGTGGCATGTGATGCTAGGTGGGTGGGATGTGATGCTAGGTGGGTGGGATGTGATGCTAGGTGGGTGGCATGTGATGCTAGGTGGGTGGCATGTGATGCTAGGTGGGTGGGATGTGATGCTAGGTGGGTGGCATGTGATGCTAGGTGGGTGGCATGTGATGCTAGGTGGGTGGGATGTGATGCTAGGTGGGTGGGATGTGATGCTAGGTGGGTGGCATGTGATGCTAGGTGGGTGGGATGTGATGCTAGGTGGGTGGGATGTGATGCTAGGTGGGTGGGATGTGATGCTAGGTGGGTGGCATGTGATGCTAGGTGGGTGGGATGTGATGCTAGGTGGGTGGCATGTGATGCTAGGTGGGTGGGATGTGATGCTAGGTGGGTGGCATGTGATGCTAGGTGGGTGGGATGTGATGCTAGGTGGGTGGGATGTGATGCTAGGTGGGTGGGATGTGATGCTAGGTGGGTGGCATGTGATGCTAGGTGGGTGGCATGTGATGCTAGGTGGGTGGCATGTGATGCTAGGTGGGTGGGATGTGATGCTAGGTGGGTGGGATGTGATGCTAGGTGGGTGGCATGTGATGCTAGGTGGGTGGGATGTGATGCTAGGTGGGTGGGATGTGATGCTAGGTGGGTGGGATGTGATGCTAGGTGGGTGGCATGTGATGCTAGGTGGGTGGGATGTGATGCTAGGTGGGTGGGATGTGATGCTAGGTGGGTGGCATGTGATGCTAGGTGGGTGGGATGTGATGCTAGGTGGGTGGGATGTGATGCTAGGTGGGTGGCATGTGATGCTAGGTGGGTGGGATGTGATGCAAGGTGGGTGGGATGTGATGCTAGGTGGGTGGGATGTGATGCTAGGTGGGTGGGATGTGATGCTAGGTGGGTGGGATGTGATGCTAGGTGGGTGGGATGTGATGCTAGGTGGAGGGCATGTGATGCTAGGTGGGTGGGATGTGATGCTAGGTGGGTGGGATGTGATGCTAGGTGGGTGGCATGTGATGCTAGGTGGGTGGGATGTGATGCTAGGTTAGTGGGATGTGATGCTAGGTGGGTGGGATGTGATGCTAGGTGGGTGGGATGTGATGCTAGGTGGAGGGCATGTGATGCTAGGTGGGTGGGATGTGATGCTAGGTGGGTGGGATGTGATGCTAGGTGGGTGGCATGTGATGCTAGGTGGGTGGGATGTGATGCTAGGTTAGTGGGATGTGATGCTAGGTGGGTGGGATGTGATGCTAGGTGGGTGGCATGTGATGCTAGGTGGATGGCATGTGATGCTAGGTGGGTGGGATGTGATGCTAGGTGGGTGGCATGTGATGCTAGGTGGGTGGCATGTGATGCTAGGTGGGTGGGATGTGATGCTAGGTGGGTGGGATGTGATGCTAGGTGGGTGGGATGTGATGCTAGGTGGGTGGCATGTGATGCTAGGTGGGTGGCATGTGATGCTAGGTGGGTGGGATGTGATGCTAGGTGGGTGGCATGTGATGCTAGGTGGATGGCATGTGATGCAAGGTGGGTGGGATGTGATGCTAGGTGGGTGGCATGTGATGCTAGGTGGGTGGGATGTGATGCTAGGTGGGTGGCATGTGATGCTAGGTGGATGGCATGTGATGCTAGGTGGGTGGCATGTGATGCTAGGTGGGTGGGATGTGATGCTAGGTGGGTGGGATGTGATGCTAGGTGGGTGGGATGTGATGCTAGGTGGGTGGGATGTGATGCTAGGTGGGTGGCATGTGATGCTAGGTGGATGGCATGTGATGCTAGGTGGGTGGGATGTGATGCTAGGTGGGTGGGATGTGATGCTAGGTGGGTGGGATGTGATGCTAGGTGGGTGGGATGTGATGCTAGGTGGGTGGCATGTGATGCTAGGTGGATGGCATGTGATGCTAGGTGGGTGGCATGTGATGCTAGGTGGGTGGGATGTGATGCTAGGTGGGTGGGATGTGATGCTAGGTGGGTGGCATGTGATGCTAGGTGGATGGCATGTGATGCTAGGTGGGTGGGATGTGATGCTAGGTGGGTGGGATGTGATGCTAGGTGGGTGGCATGTGATGCTAGGTGGGTGGCATGTGATGCTAGGTGGGTGGCATGTGATGCTAGGTGGGTGGCATGTGATGCTAGGTGGGTGGGATGTGATGCTAGGTGGGTGGCATGTGATGCTAGGTGGGTGGGATGTGATGCTAGGTGGGTGGGATGTGATGCTAGGTGGGTGGCATGTGATGCTAGGTGGATGGCATGTGATGCTAGGTGGGTGGGATGTGATGCTAGGTGGGTGGCATGTGATGCTAGGTGGGTGGCATGTGATGCTAGGTGGGTGGCATGTGATGCTAGGTGGGTGGGATGTGATGCTAGGTGGGTGGGATGTGATGCTAGGTGGGTGGGATGTGATGCTAGGTGGGTGGGATGTGATGCTAGGTGGGTGGCATGTGATGCTAGGTGGGTGGGATGTGATGCTAGGTGGGTGGGATGTGATGCTAGGTGGGTGGCATGTGATGCTAGGTGGGTGGGATGTGATGCTAGGTGGGTGGCATGTGATGCTAGGTGGGTGGGATGTGATGCTAGGTGGGTGGCATGTGATGCTAGGTGGATGGCATGTGATGCTAGGTGGGTGGGATGTGATGCTAGGTGGGTGGGATGTGATGCTAGGTGGGTGGCATGTGATGCTAGGTGGGTGGCATGTGATGCTAGGTGGGTGGGATGTGATGCTAGGTGGGTGGCATGTGATGCTAGGTGGGTGGGATGTGATGCTAGGTGGGTGGCATGTGATGCTAGGTGGGTGGCATGTGATGCTAGGTGGGTGGGATGTGATGCTAGGTGGGTGGGATGTGATGCTAGGTGGGTGGGATGTGATGCTAGGTGGGTGGCATGTGATGCTAGGTGGGTGGGATGTGATGCTAGGTGGGTGGGATGTGATGCTAGGTGGGTGGGATGTGATGCTAGGTGGGTGGCATGTGATGCTAGGTGGGTGGCATGTGATGCTAGGTGGGTGGCATGTGATGCTAGGTGGGTGGCATGTGATGCTAGGTGGGTGGCATGTGATGCTAGGTGGGTGGGATGTGATGCTAGGTGGGTGGGATGTGATGCTAGGTGGGTGGCATGTGATGCTAGGTGGGTGGGATGTGATGTTAGGTGGGTGGGATGTGATGCTAGGTGGGTGGGATGTGATGCTAGGTGGGTGGGATGTGATGCTAGGTGGGTGGCATGTGATGCTAGGTGGGTGGCATGTGATGCTAGGTGGGTGGGATGTGATGCTAGGTGGGTGGGATGTGATGCTAGGTGGGTGGCATGTGATGCTAGGTGGATGGCATGTGATGCTAGGTGGGTGGCATGTGATGCTAGGTGGGTGGGATGTGATGCTAGGTGGGTGGGATGTGATGCTAGGTGGGTGGCATGTGATGCTAGGTGGGTGGGATGTGATGCTAGGTGGGTGGGATGTGATGCTAGGTGGGTGGCATGTGATGCTAGGTGGGTGGGATGTGATGCTAGGTGGGTGGGATGTGATGCTAGGTGGGTGGGATGTGATGCTAGGTGGGTGGCATGTGATGCTAGGTGGGTGGGATGTGATGCTAGGTGGGTGGCATGTGATGCTAGGTGGGTGGGATGTGATGCTAGGTGGGTGGCATGTGATGCTAGGTGGGTGGGATGTGATGCTAGGTGGGTGGGATGTGATGCTAGGTGGGTGGCATGTGATGCTAGGTGGGTGGCATGTGATGCTAGGTGGGTGGCATGTGATGCTAGGTGGGTGGGATGTGATGCTAGGTGGGTGGGATGTGATGCTAGGTGGGTGGCATGTGATGCTAGGTGGGTGGGATGTGATGCTAGGTGGGTGGGATGTGATGCTAGGTGGGTGGGATGTGATGCTAGGTGGGTGGCATGTGATGCTAGGTGGGTGGGATGTGATGCTAGGTGGGTGGGATGTGATGCTAGGTGGGTGGCATGTGATGCTAGGTGGGTGGGATGTGATGCTAGGTGGGTGGGATGTGATGCTAGGTGGGTGGCATGTGATGCTAGGTGGGTGGGATGTGATGCAAGGTGGGTGGGATGTGATGCTAGGTGGGTGGGATGTGATGCTAGGTGGGTGGGATGTGATGCTAGGTGGGTGGGATGTGATGCTAGGTGGGTGGGATGTGATGCTAGGTGGAGGGCATGTGATGCTAGGTGGGTGGGATGTGATGCTAGGTGGGTGGGATGTGATGCTAGGTGGGTGGCATGTGATGCTAGGTGGGTGGGATGTGATGCTAGGTTAGTGGGATGTGATGCTAGGTGGGTGGGATGTGATGCTAGGTGGGTGGGATGTGATGCTAGGTGGAGGGCATGTGATGCTAGGTGGGTGGGATGTGATGCTAGGTGGGTGGGATGTGATGCTAGGTGGGTGGCATGTGATGCTAGGTGGGTGGGATGTGATGCTAGGTTAGTGGGATGTGATGCTAGGTGGGTGGGATGTGATGCTAGGTGGGTGGCATGTGATGCTAGGTGGATGGCATGTGATGCTAGGTGGGTGGGATGTGATGCTAGGTGGGTGGCATGTGATGCTAGGTGGGTGGCATGTGATGCTAGGTGGGTGGGATGTGATGCTAGGTGGGTGGGATGTGATGCTAGGTGGGTGGGATGTGATGCTAGGTGGGTGGCATGTGATGCTAGGTGGGTGGCATGTGATGCTAGGTGGGTGGGATGTGATGCTAGGTGGGTGGCATGTGATGCTAGGTGGATGGCATGTGATGCTAGGTGGGTGGCATGTGATGCTAGGTGGGTGGGATGTGATGCTAGGTGGGTGGGATGTGATGCTAGGTGGGTGGGATGTGATGCTAGGTGGGTGGGATGTGATGCTAGGTGGGTGGCATGTGATGCTAGGTGGATGGCATGTGATGCTAGGTGGGTGGGATGTGATGCTAGGTGGGTGGGATGTGATGCTAGGTGGGTGGGATGTGATGCTAGGTGGGTGGGATGTGATGCTAGGTGGGTGGCATGTGATGCTAGGTGGATGGCATGTGATGCTAGGTGGGTGGCATGTGATGCTAGGTGGGTGGGATGTGATGCTAGGTGGGTGGGATGTGATGCTAGGTGGGTGGCATGTGATGCTAGGTGGATGGCATGTGATGCTAGGTGGGTGGGATGTGATGCTAGGTGGGTGGGATGTGATGCTAGGTGGGTGGCATGTGATGCTAGGTGGGTGGCATGTGATGCTAGGTGGGTGGCATGTGATGCTAGGTGGGTGGCATGTGATGCTAGGTGGGTGGGATGTGATGCTAGGTGGGTGGCATGTGATGCTAGGTGGGTGGGATGTGATGCTAGGTGGGTGGGATGTGATGCTAGGTGGGTGGCATGTGATGCTAGGTGGATGGCATGTGATGCTAGGTGGGTGGGATGTGATGCTAGGTGGGTGGCATGTGATGCTAGGTGGGTGGCATGTGATGCTAGGTGGGTGGGATGTGATGCTAGGTGGGTGGGATGTGATGCTAGGTGGGTGGGATGTGATGCTAGGTGGGTGGGATGTGATGCTAGGTGGGTGGCATGTGATGCTAGGTGGGTGGGATGTGATGCTAGGTGGGTGGGATGTGATGCTAGGTGGGTGGCATGTGATGCTAGGTGGGTGGGATGTGATGCTAGGTGGGTGGCATGTGATGCTAGGTGGGTGGGATGTGATGCTAGGTGGGTGGCATGTGATGCTAGGTGGATGGCATGTGATGCTAGGTGGGTGGGATGTGATGCTAGGTGGGTGGGATGTGATGCTAGGTGGGTGGCATGTGATGCTAGGTGGGTGGCATGTGATGCTAGGTGGGTGGGATGTGATGCTAGGTGGGTGGGATGTGATGCTAGGTGGGTGGCATGTGATGCTAGGTGGGTGGGATGTGATGCTAGGTGGGTGGCATGTGATGCTAGGTGGGTGGCATGTGATGCTAGGTGGGTGGGATGTGATGCTAGGTGGGTGGGATGTGATGCTAGGTGGGTGGGATGTGATGCTAGGTGGGTGGCATGTGATGCTAGGTGGGTGGGATGTGATGCTAGGTGGGTGGGATGTGATGCTAGGTGGGTGGGATGTGATGCTAGGTGGGTGGCATGTGATGCTAGGTGGGTGGCATGTGATGCTAGGTGGGTGGCATGTGATGCTAGGTGGGTGGGATGTGATGCTAGGTGGGTGGGATGTGATGCTAGGTGGGTGGCATGTGATGCTAGGTGGGTGGGATGTGATGCTAGGTGGGTGGCATGTGATGCTAGATGGGTGGCATGTGATGCTAGGTGGGTGGGATGTGATGCTAGGTGGGTGGGATGTGATGCTAGGTGGGTGGCATGTGATGCTAGGTGGGTGGGATGTGATGCTAGGTGGGTGGGATGTGATGCTAGGTGGGTGGGATGTGATGCTAGGTGGGTGGGATGTGATGCTAGGTGGGTGGGATGTGATGCTAGGTGGGTGGGATGTGATGCTAGGTGGGTGGCATGTGATGCTAGGTGGGTGGGATGTGATGCTAGGTGGGTGGCATGTGATGCTAGGTGGGTGGGATGTGATGCTAGGTTAGTGGGATGTGATGCTAGGTGGGTGGGATGTGATGCTAGGTGGGTGGCATGTGATGCTAGGTGGATGGCATGTGATGCTAGGTGGGTGGGATGTGATGCTAGGTGGGTGGCATGTGATGCTAGGTGGGTGGCATGTGATGCTAGGTGGGTGGGATGTGATGCTAGGTGGGTGGGATGTGATGCTAGGTGGGTGGGATGTGATGCTAGGTGGGTGGCATGTGATGCTAGGTGGGTGGCATGTGATGCTAGGTGGGTGGGATGTGATGCTAGGTGGGTGGCATGTGATGCTAGGTGGATGGCATGTGATGCAAGGTGGGTGGGATGTGATGCTAGGTGGGTGGCATGTGATGCTAGGTGGGTGGGATGTGATGCTAGGTGGGTGGCATGTGATGCTAGGTGGATGGCATGTGATGCTAGGTGGGTGGCATGTGATGCTAGGTGGGTGGGATGTGATGCTAGGTGGGTGGGATGTGATGCTAGGTGGGTGGGATGTGATGCTAGGTGGGTGGGATGTGATGCTAGGTGGGTGGCATGTGATGCTAGGTGGGTGGGATGTGATGCTAGGTGGGTGGGATGTGATGCTAGGTGGGTGGGATGTGATGCTAGGTGGGTGGCATGTGATGCTAGGTGGGTGGGATGTGATGCTAGGTGGGTGGGATGTGATGCTAGGTGGGTGGGATGTGATGCTAGGTGGGTGGCATGTGATGCTAGGTGGGTGGCATGTGATGCTAGGTGGGTGGCATGTGATGCTAGGTGGGTGGGATGTGATGCTAGGTGGGTGGGATGTGATGCAAGGTGGGTGGGATGTGATGCTAGGTGGGTGGGATGTGATGCTAGGTGGGTGGGATGTGATGCAAGGTGGGTGGGATGTGATGCTAGGTGGGTGGCATGTGATGCTAGGTGGGTGGGATGTGATGCTAGGTGGGTGGGATGTGATGCTAGGTGGGTGGGATGTGATGCTAGGTGGGTGGGATGTGATGCTAGGTGGGTGGCATGTGATGCTAGGTGGGTGGGATGTGATGCTAGGTGGGTGGGATGTGATGCTAGGTGGGTGGGATGTGATGCTAGGTGGGTGGGATGTGATGCTAGGTGGGTGGGATGTGATGCTAGGTGGGTGGCATGTGATGCTAGGTGGGTGGGATGTGATGCTAGGTGGGTGGCATGTGATGCTAGGTGGGTGGGATGTGATGCTAGGTGGGTGGGATGTGATGCTAGGTGGGTGGGATGTGATGCTAGGTGGGTGGCATGTGATGCTAGGTGGGTGGCATGTGATGCTAGGTGGGTGGCATGTGATGCTAGGTGGGTGGCATGTGATGCTAGGTGGGTGGGATGTGATGCTAGGTGGGTGGGATGTGATGCTAGGTGGGTGGCATGTGATGCTAGGTGGGTGGGATGTGATGCTAGGTGGGTGGCATGTGATGCTAGATGGGTGGCATGTGATGCTAGGTGGGTGGGATGTGATGCTAGGTGGGTGGGATGTGATGCTAGGTGGGTGGCATGTGATGCTAGGTGGGTGGGATGTGATGCTAGGTGGGTGGGATGTGATGCTAGGTGGGTGGGATGTGATGCTAGGTGGGTGGCATGTGATGCTAGGTGGGTGGGATGTGATGCTAGGTGGGTGGCATGTGATGCTAGGTGGGTGGGATGTGATGCTAGGTTAGTGGGATGTGATGCTAGGTGGGTGGGATGTGATGCTAGGTGGGTGGCATGTGATGCTAGGTGGATGGCATGTGATGCTAGGTGGGTGGGATGTGATGCTAGGTGGGTGGCATGTGATGCTAGGTGGGTGGCATGTGATGCTAGGTGGGTGGGATGTGATGCTAGGTGGGTGGGATGTGATGCTAGGTGGGTGGGATGTGATGCTAGGTGGGTGGCATGTGATGCTAGGTGGGTGGCATGTGATGCTAGGTGGGTGGGATGTGATGCTAGGTGGGTGGCATGTGATGCTAGGTGGATGGCATGTGATGCAAGGTGGGTGGGATGTGATGCTAGGTGGGTGGCATGTGATGCTAGGTGGGTGGGATGTGATGCTAGGTGGGTGGCATGTGATGCTAGGTGGATGGCATGTGATGCTAGGTGGGTGGCATGTGATGCTAGGTGGGTGGGATGTGATGCTAGGTGGGTGGGATGTGATGCTAGGTGGGTGGGATGTGATGCTAGGTGGGTGGGATGTGATGCTAGGTGGGTGGCATGTGATGCTAGGTGGATGGCATGTGATGCTAGGTGGGTGGGATGTGATGCTAGGTGGGTGGGATGTGATGCTAGGTGGGTGGGATGTGATGCTAGGTGGGTGGGATGTGATGCTAGGTGGGTGGCATGTGATGCTAGGTGGATGGCATGTGATGCTAGGTGGGTGGCATGTGATGCTAGGTGGGTGGGATGTGATGCTAGGTGGGTGGGATGTGATGCTAGGTGGGTGGCATGTGATGCTAGGTGGATGGCATGTGATGCTAGGTGGGTGGGATGTGATGCTAGGTGGGTGGGATGTGATGCTAGGTGGGTGGCATGTGATGCTAGGTGGGTGGCATGTGATGCTAGGTGGGTGGCATGTGATGCTAGGTGGGTGGCATGTGATGCTAGGTGGGTGGGATGTGATGCTAGGTGGGTGGCATGTGATGCTAGGTGGGTGGGATGTGATGCTAGGTGGGTGGGATGTGATGCTAGGTGGGTGGCATGTGATGCTAGGTGGATGGCATGTGATGCTAGGTGGGTGGGATGTGATGCTAGGTGGGTGGCATGTGATGCTAGGTGGGTGGCATGTGATGCTAGGTGGGTGGCATGTGATGCTAGGTGGGTGGGATGTGATGCTAGGTGGGTGGGATGTGATGCTAGGTGGGTGGGATGTGATGCTAGGTGGGTGGGATGTGATGCTAGGTGGGTGGCATGTGATGCTAGGTGGGTGGGATGTGATGCTAGGTGGGTGGGATGTGATGCTAGGTGGGTGGCATGTGATGCTAGGTGGGTGGGATGTGATGCTAGGTGGGTGGCATGTGATGCTAGGTGGGTGGGATGTGATGCTAGGTGGGTGGCATGTGATGCTAGGTGGATGGCATGTGATGCTAGGTGGGTGGGATGTGATGCTAGGTGGGTGGGATGTGATGCTAGGTGGGTGGCATGTGATGCTAGGTGGGTGGCATGTGATGCTAGGTGGGTGGGATGTGATGCTAGGTGGGTGGCATGTGATGCTAGGTGGGTGGGATGTGATGCTAGGTGGGTGGGATGTGATGCTAGGTGGGTGGGATGTGATGCTAGGTGGGTGGCATGTGATGCTAGGTGGGTGGGATGTGATGCTAGGTGGGTGGGATGTGATGCTAGGTGGGTGGGATGTGATGCTAGGTGGGTGGCATGTGATGCTAGGTGGGTGGCATGTGATGCTAGGTGGGTGGCATGTGATGCTAGGTGGGTGGCATGTGATGCTAGGTGGGTGGGATGTGATGCTAGGTGGGTGGGATGTGATGCTAGGTGGGTGGCATGTGATGCTAGGTGGGTGGGATGTGATGCTAGGTGGGTGGCATGTGATGCTAGGTGGGTGGCATGTGATGCTAGGTGGGTGGGATGTGATGCTAGGTGGGTGGGATGTGATGCTAGGTGGGTGGGATGTGATGCTAGGTGGGTGGCATGTGATGCTAGGTGGGTGGGATGTGATGCTAGGTGGGTGGGATGTGATGCTAGGTGGGTGGGATGTGATGCTAGGTGGGTGGCATGTGATGCTAGGTGGGTGGCATGTGATGCTAGGTGGGTGGCATGTGATGCTAGGTGGGTGGCATGTGATGCTAGGTGGGTGGGATGTGATGCTAGGTGGGTGGGATGTGATGCTAGGTGGGTGGCATGTGATGCTAGGTGGGTGGGATGTGATGCTAGGTGGGTGGCATGTGATGCTAGATGGGTGGCATGTGATGCTAGGTGGGTGGGATGTGATGCTAGGTGGGTGGGATGTGATGCTAGGTGGGTGGCATGTGATGCTAGGTGGGTGGGATGTGATGCTAGGTGGGTGGGATGTGATGCTAGGTGGGTGGGATGTGATGCTAGGTGGGTGGCATGTGATGCTAGGTGGGTGGGATGTGATGCTAGGTGGGTGGCATGTGATGCTAGGTGGGTGGGATGTGATGCTAGGTGGGTGGGATGTGATTCTAGGTGGGTGGCATGTGATGCTAGGTGGGTGGCATGTGATGCTAGGTGGGTGGCATGTGATGCTAGGTGGGTGGCATGTGATGCAAGGTGGGTGGGATGTGATGCTAGGTGGGTGGCATGTGATGCTAGGTGGGTGGGATGTGATGCTAGGTGGGTGGGATGTGATGCTAGGTGGGTGGCATGTGATGCTAGGTGGGTGGCATGTGATGCTAGGTGGGTGGGATGTGATGCTAGGTGGGTGGCATGTGATGCTAGGTGGATGGCATGTGATGCAAGGTGGGTGGGATGTGATGCTAGGTGGGTGGGATGTGATGCTAGGTGGGTGGGATGTGATGCTAGGTGGGTGGGATGTGATGCTAGGTGGGTGGGATGTGATGCTAGGTGGGTGGCATGTGATGCTAGGTGGATGGCATGTGATGCAAGGTGGGTGGGATGTGATGCTAGGTGGGTGGGATGTGATGCTAGGTGGGTGGGATGTGATGCTAGGTGGGTGGGATGTGATGCTAGGTGGGTGGGATGTGATGCTAGGTGGGTGGCATGTGATGCTAGGTGGGTGGGATGTGATGCTAGGTTAGTGGGATGTGATGCTAGGTGGGTGGGATGTGATGCTAGGTGGGTGGCATGTGATGCTAGGTGGATGGCATGTGATGCTAGGTGGGTGGGATGTGATGCTAGGTGGGTGGCATGTGATGCTAGGTGGGTGGCATGTGATGCTAGGTGGGTGGGATGTGATGCTAGGTGGGTGGGATGTGATGCTAGGTGGGTGGGATGTGATGCTAGGTGGGTGGCATGTGATGCTAGGTGGGTGGCATGTGATGCTAGGTGGGTGGGATGTGATGCTAGGTGGGTGGCATGTGATGCTAGGTGGATGGCATGTGATGCAAGGTGGGTGGGATGTGATGCTAGGTGGGTGGCATGTGATGCTAGGTGGGTGGGATGTGATGCTAGGTGGGTGGCATGTGATGCTAGGTGGATGGCATGTGATGCTAGGTGGGTGGCATGTGATGCTAGGTGGGTGGGATGTGATGCTAGGTGGGTGGGATGTGATGCTAGGTGGGTGGGATGTGATGCTAGGTGGGTGGGATGTGATGCTAGGTGGGTGGCATGTGATGCTAGGTGGATGGCATGTGATGCTAGGTGGGTGGGATGTGATGCTAGGTGGGTGGGATGTGATGCTAGGTGGGTGGGATGTGATGCTAGGTGGGTGGGATGTGATGCTAGGTGGGTGGCATGTGATGCTAGGTGGATGGCATGTGATGCTAGGTGGGTGGCATGTGATGCTAGGTGGGTGGGATGTGATGCTAGGTGGGTGGGATGTGATGCTAGGTGGGTGGCATGTGATGCTAGGTGGATGGCATGTGATGCTAGGTGGGTGGGATGTGATGCTAGGTGGGTGGGATGTGATGCTAGGTGGGTGGCATGTGATGCTAGGTGGGTGGCATGTGATGCTAGGTGGGTGGGATGTGATGCTAGGTGGGTGGCATGTGATGCTAGGTGGGTGGGATGTGATGCTAGGTGGGTGGGATGTGATGCTAGGTGGGTGGCATGTGATGCTAGGTGGGTGGGATGTGATGCTAGGTGGGTGGCATGTGATGCTAGGTGGGTGGCATGTGATGCTAGGTGGGTGGCATGTGATGCTAGGTGGGTGGCATGTGATGCTAGGTGGGTGGGATGTGATGCTAGGTGGGTGGGATGTGATGCTAGGTGGGTGGGATGTGATGCTAGGTGGGTGGGATGTGATGCTAGGTGGGTGGCATGTGATGCTAGGTGGGTGGGATGTGATGCTAGGTGGGTGGGATGTGATGCTAGGTGGGTGGCATGTGATGCTAGGTGGGTGGGATGTGATGCTAGGTGGGTGGCATGTGATGCTAGGTGGGTGGGATGTGATGCTAGGTGGGTGGCATGTGATGCTAGGTGGGTGGGATGTGATGCTAGGTGGGTGGCATGTGATGCTAGGTGGATGGCATGTGATGCTAGGTGGGTGGGATGTGATGCTAGGTGGGTGGGATGTGATGCTAGGTGGGTGGCATGTGATGCTAGGTGGGTGGCATGTGATGCTAGGTGGGTGGGATGTGATGCTAGGTGGGTGGCATGTGATGCTAGGTGGGTGGGATGTGATGCTAGGTGGGTGGCATGTGATGCTAGGTGGGTGGCATGTGATGCTAGGTGGGTGGGATGTGATGCTAGGTGGGTGGGATGTGATGCTAGGTGGGTGGCATGTGATGCTAGGTGGGTGGGATGTGATGCTAGGTGGGTGGGATGTGATGCTAGGTGGGTGGCATGTGATGCTAGGTGGGTGGGATGTGATGCTAGGTGGGTGGCATGTGATGCTAGGTGGGTGGCATGTGATGCTAGGTGGGTGGCATGTGATGCTAGGTGGGTGGCATGTGATGCTAGGTGGGTGGGATGTGATGCTAGGTGGGTGGGATGTGATGCTAGGTGGGTGGCATGTGATGCTAGGTGGGTGGGATGTGATGCTAGGTGGGTGGCATGTGATGCTAGATGGGTGGCATGTGATGCTAGGTGGGTGGGATGTGATGCTAGGTGGGTGGGATGTGATGCTAGGTGGGTGGCATGTGATGCTAGGTGGGTGGGATGTGATGCTAGGTGGGTGGGATGTGATGCTAGGTGGGTGGGATGTGATGCTAGGTGGGTGGCATGTGATGCTAGGTGGGTGGGATGTGATGCTAGGTGGGTGGCATGTGATGCTAGGTGGGTGGGATGTGATGCTAGGTGGGTGGGATGTGATTCTAGGTGGGTGGCATGTGATGCTAGGTGGGTGGCATGTGATGCTAGGTGGGTGGCATGTGATGCTAGGTGGGTGGCATGTGATGCAAGGTGGGTGGGATGTGATGCTAGGTGGGTGGCATGTGATGCTAGGTGGGTGGGATGTGATGCTAGGTGGGTGGGATGTGATGCTAGGTGGGTGGGATGTGATGCTAGGTGGGTGGGATGTGATGCTAGGTGGGTGGGATGTGATGCTAGGTGGGTGGGATGTGATGCTAGGTGGGTGGGATGTGATGCTAGGTGGGTGGGATGTGATGCTAGGTGGGTGGGATGTGATGCTAGGTGGGTGGCATGTGATGCTAGGTGGGTGGGATGTGATGCTAGGTGGGTGGGATGTGATGCTAGGTGGGTGGCATGTGATGCTAGGTGGGTGGGATGTGATGCTAGGTGGGTGGGATGTGATGCTAGGTGGGTGGGATGTGATGCTAGGTGGGTGGCATGTGATGCTAGGTGGGTGGGATGTGATGCTAGGTGGGTGGGATGTGATGCTAGGTGGGTGGGATGTGATGCTAGGTGGGTGGCATGTGATGCTAGGTGGGTGGCATGTGATGCTAGGTGGGTGGGATGTGATGCTAGGTGGGTGGCATGTGATGCTAGGTGGGTGGGATGTGATGCTAGGTGGGTGGGATGTGATGCTAGGTGGGTGGGATGTGATGCTAGGTGGGTGGCATGTGATGCTAGGTGGGTGGGATGTGATGCTAGGTGGGTGGGATGTGATGCTAGGTGGGTGGCATGTGATGCTAGGTGGGTGGCATGTGATGCTAGGTGGGTGGCATGTGATGCTAGGTGGGTGGGATGTGATGCTAGGTGGGTGGGATGTGATGCAAGGTGGGTGGGATGTGATGCTAGGTGGGTGGGATGTGATGCTAGGTGGGTGGGATGTGATGCAAGGTGGGTGGGATGTGATGCTAGGTGGGTGGCATGTGATGCTAGGTGGGTGGGATGTGATGCTAGGTGGGTGGGATGTGATGCTAGGTGGGTGGGATGTGATGCTAGGTGGGTGGGATGTGATGCTAGGTGGGTGGCATGTGATGCTAGGTGGGTGGGATGTGATGCTAGGTGGGTGGGATGTGATGCTAGGTGGGTGGGATGTGATGCTAGGTGGGTGGGATGTGATGCTAGGTGGGTGGGATGTGATGCTAGGTGGGTGGCATGTGATGCTAGGTGGGTGGGATGTGATGCTAGGTGGGTGGGATGTGATGCTAGGTGGGTGGGATGTGATGCTAGGTGGGTGGCATGTGATGCTAGGTGGGTGGGATGTGATGCTAGGTGGGTGGGATGTGATGCTAGGTGGGTGGGATGTGATGCTAGGTGGGTGGCATGTGATGCTAGGTGGGTGGGATGTGATGCTAGGTGGGTGGGATGTGATGCTAGGTGGGTGGGATGTGATGCTAGGTGGGTGGGATGTGATGCTAGGTGGGTGGGATGTGATGCTAGGTGGGTGGGATGTGATGCTAGGTGGGTGGGATGTGATGCTAGGTGGGTGGGATGTGATGCTAGGTGGGTGGGATGTGATGCTAGGTGGGTGGCATGTGATGCTAGGTGGGTGGGATGTGATGCTAGGTGGGTGGGATGTGATGCTAGGTGGGTGGCATGTGATGCTAGGTGGGTGGCATGTGATGCTAGGTGGGTGGCATGTGATGCTAGGTGGGTGGGATGTGATGCTAGGTGGGTGGCATGTGATGCTAGGTGGGTGGGATGTGATGCTAGGTGGGTGGCATGTGATGCTAGGTGGGTGGGATGTGATGCTAGGTGGGTGGGATGTGATGCTAGGTGGGTGGCATGTGATGCTAGGTGGGTGGCATGTGATGCTAGGTGGGTGGGCATGTGATGCTAGGTGGGTGGGATGTGATGCTAGGTGGGTGGCATGTGATGCTAGGTGGGTGGCATGTGATGCTAGGTGGTGGGATGTGATGCTAGGTGGGTGGCATGTGATGCTAGGTGGGTGGGATGTCATGCTAGGTGGGTGGATGTGATGCTAGGTGGGTGGGTGGCTGTGATGCTAGGTGGGTGGGAATGTATGCTATGTGGGTGGCATGTGATGCTAGGTGGGTGGCGATGTATGCTAGGTGGATGGGATGTGATGCTAGGTGGGTGGGATGTGATGCTATGTGGGTGGGCATGTGATGCTAGGTGGGTGGGATGTGATGCTAGGTGGGTGGCATGTGGATGCTAGGTGGGTGGGCATGTGATGCTAGGTGGGATGGGATGTGATGCTAGGTGGGTGGGATGTGATGCTATGTGGGTGGCATGTGATGCTAGGTGGGTGGGATGTCATGCTATGTGGGTGGCATGTGATGCTAGGTGGGTGGGATGTCATGCTAGGTGGATGGGATGTGATGCTAGGTGGGTGGGATGTGATGCTAGGTGGTGGGATGTGATGCTAGGTGGGTGGGATGTGATGCTAGGTGGGGGGATGTCATGCTAGGTGGGATGGGATGTGATGCTAGGTGGGTGGATGTGATTCTAGGTGGGTGGCATGTGATGACTAGGTGGGTGGCATGTGATGCTAGGTGGGTGGGATGTGATGCTAGTGTGGGTGGGCATGTGATGCCTAGGTGGGTGGGATGTGATGCTAGGTGGGTGGGATGTGATGCTAGGTGGGTGGGATGTGATGCTAGGTGGGTGGCTGTGATGCTAGGTGGGTGGCATGTGATGCTAGGTGGGTGGCATGTGATGCTAGGTGGGTGGGATGTGATGCTAGGTGGGTGGGATGTGATGCTAGGTGGGTGGCATGTGATGCTAGGTGGGTGGCATGTGATGCTAGGTGGGTGGATGTGATGCTAGGTGGGTGGCATGTGATGCTAGGTGGGTGGGCATGTGATGCTAGGTGGATGGGATGTGATGCTAGGTGGGTGGGATGTGATGCTAGGTGGGTGGGATGTGATGCTAGGTGGGTGGGATGTGATGCTAGGTGGGTGGGATGTGATGCTAGGTGGGTGGATGTGATGCTAGGTGGGTGGGATGTGATGCTAGGTGGGTGGCATGTTGATGCTAGGTGGGTGGATGTGATGCTAGGTGGGTGGGATGTGATGCTAGGTGGGTGGGATGTGATGCTAGGTGGGTGGGATGTGATGCTAGGTGGGTGGGCATGTGATGCTAGGTGTGGGATGTGATGCTAGGTGGGTGGCATGTGATGCTAGGTGGGTGGGATGTGATGCTAGGTGGATGGGATGTGATGCTAGGTGGGTGGGATGTGATGCTATGTGGGTGGCATGTGATGCTAGGTGGGTGGGATGTGATGCTATGTGGGTGGCATGTGATGCTAGGTGGGTGGGATGTCATGCTAGGTGGATGGGATGTGATGCTAGGTGGGTGGGATGTGATGCTAGGTGGGTGGGATGTGATGCTAGGTGGGTGGCATGTGATGCTAGGTGGGTGGGATGTCATGCTAGGTGGATGGGATGTGATGCTAGGTGGGTGGGATGTGATTCTAGGTGGGTGGCATGTGATGCTAGGTGGGTGGCAATGTGATGCTAGGTGGGTGGGATGTGATGCTAGGTGGGTGGATGTGATGCTATGTGGGTGGCATGTGATGCTAGGTGGGTGGGATGTGATGCTAGGTGGGTGGGATGTGATGCTAGGTGGGTGGGATGTGATGCTAGGTGGGTGGGATGTGATGCTAGGTGGGTGGGATGTGATGCTAGGTGGTGGATGTGATGCTAGGTGGGTGGGATGTGATGCTAGGTGGGTGGATGTGATGCTAGGTGGGTGGATGTGATTCTAGGTGGGTGGCATGTGATGCTAGGTGGGTGGCATGTGATGCTAGGTGGGTGGGATGTCATGCTAGGTGGATGGGATGTGATGCTAGGTGGGTGGGATGTGATGCTATGTGGGTGGCATGTGATGCTAGGTGGGTGGGATGTGATGCTAGGTGGGTGGGATGTGATGCTATGTGGGTGGCATGTGATGCTAGGTGGGTGGGATGTGATGCTAGGTGGGTGGGATGTGATGCTAGGTGGATGGGATGTGATGCTAGGTGGGTGGGATGTGATGCTAGGTGGGTGGATGTGATGCTAGGTGGGTGGCATGTGATGCTAGGTGGGTGGGATGTGATGCTAGGTGGGTGGGATGTGATGCTAGGTGGGTGGGATGTGATGCTAGGTGGGTGGGATGTGATGCTAGGTGGGTGGCATGTGATGCTAGGTGGGTGGCATGTGATGCTAGGTGGGTGGGATGTGATGCTAGGTGGGTGGCATGTGATGCTAGGTGGGTGGGATGTGATGCTAGGTGGGTGGCATGTGATGCTAGGTGGGTGGCATGTGATGCTAGGTGGGTGGGATGTGATGCTAGGTGGGTGGGATGTGATGCTAGGTGGGTGGGCATGTGATGCTAGGTGGGTGGGATGTGATGCTAGGTGGGTGGGATGTGATGCTAGGTGGGTGGCATGTGATGCTAGGTGGGTGGCATGTGATGCTAGGTGGGTGGGATGTGATGCTAGGTGGGTGGGATGTGATGCTAGGTGGGTGGGATGTGATGCTAGGTGGGTGGCATGTGATGCTAGGTGGGTGGGATGTGATGCTAGGTGGGTGGCATGTGATGCTAGGTGGGTGGGATGTGATGCTAGGTGGGTGGGATGTGATGCTAGGTGGGTGGGATGTGATGCTAGGTGGGTGGCATGTGATGCTAGGTGGGTGGGATGTGATGCTAGGTGGGTGGGATGTGATGCTAGGTGGGTGGGATGTGATGCTAGGTGGGTGGGATGTGATGCTAGGTGGGTGGCATGTGATGCTAGGTGGGTGGCATGTGATGCTAGGTGGGTGGGATGTGATGCTAGGTGGGTGGGATGTGATGCTAGGTGGGTGGGATGTGATGCTAGGTGGGTGGATGTGATGCTAGGTGGGTGGCATGTGATGCTAGGTGGGTGGGATGTGATGCTAGGTGGGTGGCATGTGATGCTAGGTGGGTGGGATGTGATGCTAGGTGGTGGGATGTGATGCTAGGTGGGTGGGATGTGATGCTAGGTGGGTGGGATGTGATGCTAGGTGGGTGGGATGTGATGCTAGGTGGGTGGATGTGATGCTAGGTGGGTGGGATGTGATGCTAGGTTGGTGGGATGTGATGCTAGGTGGGTGGGATGTGATGCTAGGTGGGTGGGATGTGATGCTAGGTGGGTGGCATGTGATGCTAGGTGGGTGGGATGTGATGCTAGGTGGGTGGGATGTGATGCTAGGTGGGTGGGATGTGATGCTAGGTGGGTGGCATGTGATGCTAGGTGGGTGGGATGTGATGCTAGGTGGGTGGGATGTGATGCTAGGTGGGTGGGATGTGATGCTAGGTGGGTGGGATGTGATGCTAGGTGGGTGGGATGTGATGCTAGGTGGGTGGGATGTGATGCTAGGTGGGTGGCATGTGATGCTAGGTGGGTGGCATGTGATGCTAGGTGGGTGGCATGTGATGCTAGGTGGGTGGATGTGATGCTAGGTGGGTGGGATGTGATGCTAGTGTGGGATGTGGCTATTGATGCTCTAGGTGGTGGATGTGATGCTAGGTGGGTGGGATGTGATGCTAGGTGGGTGGGATGTGATGCTAGGTGGGTGGCATGTGATGCTAGGTGGGTGGGATGTGATGCTAGGTGGGTGGCATGTGATGCTAGGTGGGTGGCATGTGATGCTAGGTGGGTGGGATGTGATGCTAGGTGGGTGGATGTGATGCTAGGTGGTGGATGTGATGCTAGGTGGGTGGATGTGATGCTAGGTGGGTGGGATGTGATGCTAGGTGGGTGGGATGTGATGCTAGGTGGGTGGGATGTGATGCTAGGTGGGTGGCATGTGATGCTAGGTGGGTGGCATGTGATGCTAGGTGGGGGGGTGGGATGTGATGCTAGGTGGGTTGGATGTGATGCTAGGGGGTGGGATGTGATGCTAGGGGTGGGATGTGATGCTAGGTGGGTGGGATGTGATGCTAGGTGGGTGGGATGTGATGCTAGGTGGGTGGGATGTGATGCTAGGTGGGTGGCATGTGATGCTAGGTGGGTGGGATGTGATGCTAGGTGGGTGGCATGTGATGCTAGGTGGGTGGGCATGTGATGCTAGGTGGGTGGGATGTGATGCTAGGTGGGTGGGATGTGATGCTAGGTGGGTGGGCATGTGATGCTAGGTGGGTGGGATGTGATGCTAGGTGGGTGGGATGTGATGCTAGGTGGGTGGGATGTGATGCTAGGTGGTGGGCATGTGATGCTAGGTGGGTGGGATGTGATGCTAGGTGGGTGGGGATGTGAGCTAGGTGGGTGTGGATGTGATGCTAGGTGGGTGGGATGTGATGCTAGGTGGGTGGGATGTGATGCTAGGTGGGTGGGATGTGATGCTAGGTGGGTGGATGTGATGCTAGGTGGGTGGGATGTGATGCTAGGTGGGTGGGATGTGATGCTAGGTGGGTGGGATGTGATGCTAGGTGGGTGGGATGTGATGCTAGGTGGGTGGGATGTGATGCTAGGTGGGTGGGATGTGATGCTAGGTGGGTGGGATGTGATGCTAGGTGGGTGGCATGTGATGCTAGGTGGGTGGGATGTGATGCTAGGTGGGTGGGATGTGATGCTAGGTGGGTGGGATGTGATGCTAGGTGGGTGGCATGTGATGCTAGGTGGGTGGGATGTGATGCTAGGTGGGTGGGATGTGATGCTAGGTGGGTGGCATGTGATGCTAGGTGGGTGGGATGTGATGCTAGGTGGGTGGCATGTGATGCTAGGTGGGTGGCATGTGATGCTAGGTGGGTGGGATGTGATGCTAGGTGGGTGGGATGTGATGCTAGGTGGGTGGGATGTGATGCTAGGTGGGTGGGATGTGATGCTAGGTGGGTGGCATGTGATGCTAGGTGGGTGGCATGTGATGCTAGGTGGGTGGGATGTGATGCTAGGTGGGTGGGATGTGATGCTAGGTGGGTGGGATGTGATGCTAGGTGGGTGGGATGTGATGCTAGGTGGGTGGGATGTGATGCTAGGTGGGTGGGATGTGATGCTAGGTGGGTGGCATGGATGCTAGGTGGGTGGCATGTGATGCTAGGTGGGTGGGATGTGATGCTAGGTGGGTGGGATGTGATGCTAGGTGGGTGGGATGTGATGCTAGGTGGGTGGGATGTGATGCTAGGTGGGTGGGATGTGATGCTAGGTGGGTGGCATGTGATGCTAGGTGGGTGGGCATGTGATGCTAGGTGGGTGGGATGTGATGCTAGGTGGGTGGGATGTGATGCTAGGTGGGTGGATGTGATGCTAGGTGGTGGGATGTGATGCTAGGTGGGTGGGATGTGATGCTAGGTGGGTGGGATGTGATGCTAGGTGGGTGGATGGTGATGCTAGGTGGGTGGATGTGATGCTAGGTGGGTGGGATGTGATGCTAGGTGGGTGGGATGTGATGCTAGGTGGGTGGGATGTGATGCTAGGTGGGTGGGATGTGATGCTAGGTGGGTGGGATGTGATGCTAGGTGGGTGGGATGTGATGCTAGGTGGGTGGGATGTGATGCTAGGTGGGTGGGATGTGATGCTAGGTGGGTGGGATGTGATGCTAGGTGGGTGGGATGTGATGCTAGGTGGGTGGGATGTGATGCTAGGTGGGTGGGATGTGATGCTAGGTGGGTGGATGTGATGCTAGGTGGGTGGGATGTGATGCTTAGGTGGGTGGGATGTGATGCTAGGTGGGTGGGATGTGATGCTAGGTGGGTGGGATGTGATGCTAGGTGGTGGGATGTGATGCTAGGTGGGTGGATGTGATGCTAGGTGGGTGGGCATGTGATGCTAGGTGGGTGGGATGTGATGCTAGGTGGGTGGGATGTGATGCTAGGTGGGTGGGATGTGATGCTAGGTGGGTGGGAGGTGATGCTAGGTGGGTGGGATGTGATGCTAGGTGGGTGGGATGTGATGCTAGGTGGTGGGATGTGATGCTAGGTGGGTGGATGTGATGCTAGGTGGGTGGGATGTGATGCTAGGTGGGTGGGATGTGATGCTAGGTGGGTGGGATGTGATGCTAGGTGGGTGGGATGTGATGCTAGGTGGGTGGGATGTGATGCTAGGTGGGTGGATGTGATGCTAGGTGGGTGGAATGTGATGCTAGGTGGGTGGGATGTGATGCTAGGTGGTGGATGTGATGCTAGGTGGGTGGGATGTGATGCTAGGGGGGTGGATGTGATGCTAGGTGAGGTGGCATGGATGCTAGGTGGGTGGGAATGTGATGCTAGGTGGGGGATGTGTGCTAAGTTGGGTGGGATGTGACGCTAGGTGGGTGGCATGTGATGCTAGGTGGGTGGCATGTGATGCTAGGTGGGTGGATGCTGATGCTAGGTGGGTGGCATGTGATGCCTAGGTGGGGGGCATGTGATGCTATGTGGGTGGCATGTGATGCTAGGTGGGTGGATGGGATGCTAGGTGGTGGGATTGATGCTAGGTGGGTGGATGTGATGCTAGGTGGGTGGGATGTGATGCTAGGTGGTGGATGTGATGCTAGGTGGGTGGCATGTGATGCTAGGTGGGTGGCATGTGATTGCTAGGTGGGTGGGATGTGATGCTAGGTGGGTGGCATGTGATGCTAGGTGGGTGGGATGTGATGCTAGGTGGGTGGGATGTGATGCTAGGTGGGTGGGATGTGATGCTAGGTGGGTGGGATGTGATGCTAGGTGGGTGGATGTGATGCTAGGGGGTGGCATGTGATGCTAGGTGGGTGGGATGTGATGCTAGGTGGGTGGGATGTGATGCTAGGTGGGTGGGATGTGATGCTAGGTGGGTGGGATGTGATGCTAGGTGGGTGGGATGTGATGCTAGGTGGGTGGGATGTGATGCTAGGTGGGTGGGCATGTGATGCTAGGTGGGTGGCATGTGATGCTAGGTGGGTGGCATGTGATGCTAGGTGGGTGGCATGTGATGCCTAGGTGGGTGGGCATGTGATGCTAGGTGGGTGGGATGTGATGCTAGGTGGGTGGGATGTGATGCTAGGTGGGTGGCATGTGATGCTAGGTGGGTGGGATGTGATGCTAGGTGGGTGGGCATGTGATGCTAGGTGGGTGGCATGTGATGCTAGGTGGGTGGCATGTGATGCTAGGTGGGTGGGATGTGATGCTAGTGTGGGTGGCATGTGATGCTAGGTGGGTGGATGTGATGCTAGGTGGGTGGGATGTGATGCTAGGTGGGTGGCATGTGATGCTAGGTGGGTGGGATGGTGATGCTAGGTGGGTGGGATGTGATGCTAGGTGGGTGGATGTGATGCTAGGTGGGGGATGTGATGCTAGGTGGGTGGCATGTGATGCTAGGTGGGTGGGATGTGATGCTAGGTGGGTTGGGATGTGATGCTATGTGGGTGGAATGTGATGCTAGTGGGTGGGATGTGATGCTAGGTGGGTGGATGTGATGCTAGGTGGGTGGGATGTGATGCTAGGTGGGTGGGCATGTGATGCTAGGTGGGTGGGATGTGATGCTAGGTGGGTGGCATGTGATGCTAGGTGGGTGGGCATGTGATGCTAGGTGGGTGGCATGTGATGCTAGGTGGGTGGGATGTGATGCTAGGTGGGTGGGATGTGATGCTAGGTGGGTGGGATGTGATGCTAGGTGGGTGGGATGTGATGCTAGGTGGGTGGCATGTGATGCTAGGTGGGTGGCATGTGATGCTAGGTGGGTGGGATGTGATGCTAGGTGGGTGGGATGTGATGCTAGGTGGGTGGGCATGTGATGCTAGGTGGGTGGGATGTGATGCTAGGTGGGTGGGATGTGATGCTAGGTGGGTGGGATGTGATGCTAGGTGGTGGCATGTGATGCTAGGTGGGTGGATGTTGATGCTAGGTGGGTGGATGTGATGCTAGGTGGGTGGCATGTGATGCTAGGTGGGTGGGATGTGATGCTAGGTGGGTGGGATGTGATGCTAGGTGGGTGGGATGTGATGCTAGGTGGGTGGGATGTGATGCTAGGTGGGTGGGATGTGATGCTAGGTGGGTGGCATGTGATGCTAGGTGGGTGGGATGTGATGCTAGGTGGGTGGGATGTGATGCTAGGTGGGTGGGATGTGATGCTAGGTGGGTGGGATGTGATGCTAGGTGGGTGGGATGTGATGCTAGGTGGGTGGGATGTGATGCTAGGTGGGTGGCATGTGATGCTAGGTGGGTGGGATGTGATGCTAGGTGGGTGGGATGTGATGCTAGGTGGGTGGGATGTGATGCTAGGTGGGTGGGATGTGATGCTAGGTGGGTGGATGTGATGCTAGGTGGGTGGGATGTGATGCTAGGTGGGTGGGATGTGATGCTAGGTGGGTGGCATGTGATGCTAGGTGGGTGGGATGTGATGCTAGGTGGGTGGCATGTGATGCTAGGTGGGTGGCATGTGATGCTAGGTGGGTGGGCATGTGATGCTAGGTGGGTGGCATGTGATGCTAGGTGGGTGCATGTGATGCTAGGTGGGGGATGTGATGCTAGGTGGGTGGGATGTGATGCTAGGTGGGTGGGATGTGATGCTAGGTGGGATGGGCATGTGATGCTAGGTGGGTGGATGTGATGCTAGGTGGGGTGGCATGTGATGCTAGGTGGGTGGCATGTGATGCTAGGTGGGTGGGATGTGATGCTAGGTGGGTGGGCATGTGATGCTAGGTGGGTGGATGTGATGCTAGGTGGGTGGGATGTGATGCTAGGTGGGTGGGATGTGATGCTAGGTGGGTGGGATGTGATGCTAGGTGGGTGGGCTGTGATTGCTAGGTGGGGGATGTGATGCTAGGTGGGTGGATGTGATGCTAGGTGGGTGGCATGTGATGCTAGGTGGGTGGCATGTGATGCTAGGTGGGTGGGATGTGATGCTAGGTGGGTGGCATGTGATGCTAGGTGGGTGGGATGTGATGCTAGGTGGGTGGATGTGATGCTAGGTGGGTGGGCATGTGATGCTAGGTGGGTGGGATGTGATGCTAGGTGGGTGGCATGTGATGCTAGGTGGGTGGGATGTGATGCTAGGTGGGTGGGATGTGATGCTAGGTGGGTGGCATGTGATGCTAGGTGGGTGGCATGTGATGGCTATGGTGGTGGCATGTGATGCTAGGTGGGTGGGATGTGATGCTAGGTGGGTGGCATGTGATGCTAGGTGGGTGGGAATGTGATGCTAGGTGGGTGGCATTGATGCTAGGTGGGTGGGATGTGATGCTAGGCATGCTAGGTGGGTGGGATGTGAGCTAGGGGGCTGGCATGTGATGCTAGGTGGGTGGCATGTGATGCTAGGTGGGTGGCATGTGATGCTAGGTGGGTGGATGTGATGCTAGGTGGTGGTGGGATGTGATGCTAGGTGGGTGGGATGTGATGCTAGGTGGGGGATGTGATGCTAGGTGGGTGGGATGTGATGCTAGGTGGTGGCATGTGATGCTAGGTGGGTGGGATGTGATGCTAGGTGGGTGGATGTGATGTAGGTGGGTGGGATGTGAGCTAGGTGGGTGGCATGTGATGCTAGGTGGGTGGGATGTGATGCTAGGTGGGTGGGATGTGATGCTAGGTGGGTGGGATGTGATGCTAGGTGGGTGGGATGTGATGCTAGGTGGGTGGGATGTGATGCTAGGTGGGTGGGATGTGATGCTAGGTGGGTGGGATGTGATGCTAGGTGGGTGGGATGTGATGCTAGGTGGGTGGGATGTGATGCTAGGTGGGTGGGATGTGATGCTAGGTGGGTGGCATGTGATGCTAGGTGGGTGGGATGTGATGCTAGGTGGGTGGGATGTGATGCTAGGTGGGTGGGATGTGATGCTAGGTGGGTGGGATGTGATGCTAGGTGGGTGGGATGTGATGCTAGGTGGGTGGCATGTGATGCTAGGTGGGTGGGATGTGATGCTAGGTGGGTGGGATGTGATGCTAGGTGGGTGGGATGTGATGCTAGGTGGGTGGGATGTGATGCTAGGTGGGTGGGATGTGATGCTAGGTGGGTGGGATGTGATGCTAGGTGGGTGGGATGTGATGCTAGGTGGGTGGGATGTGATGCTAGGTGGGTGGCATGTGATGCTAGGTGGGTGGCATGTGATGCTAGGTGGGTGGATGTGATGCTAGGTGGGTGGGATGTGATGCTAGGTGGGTGGGATGTGATGCTAGGTGGGTGGGCATGTGATGCCTAGGTGGGTGGCATGTGATGCTAGGTGGGTGGGATGTGATGCTAGGTGGGTGGGATTGTGATGCTAGGTGGGTGGGATGTGATGCTAGGTGGGTGGCATGTGATGCTAGGTGGGTGGCATGTGATGCTAGGTGGGTGGCATGTGATGCTAGGTGGGTGGGATGTGATGCTAGGTGGGTGGATGTGATGCTAGGGGGTGGGCATGTGATGCTAGGTGGGTGGATGTGATGCTAGGTGGGTGGATGTGATGCTAGGTGGGTGGATGTGATGCTAGGTGGGTGGGCATGTGATGCTAGGTGGGTGGGATGTGATGCTAGGTGGGTGGCATGTGATGCTAGGTGGGTGGGATGTGATGCTAGGTGGGTGGCATGTGATGCTAGGTGGGTGGGATGTGATGCTAGGTGGGTGGGATGTGATGCTAGGTGGGTGGCATGTGATGCTAGGTGGGTGGGATGTGATGCTAGGTGGGTGGCATGTGATGCTAGGTGGGTGGGATGTGATGCTAGGTGGGTGGGATGTGATGCTAGGTGGGTGGCATGTGATGCTAGGTGGGTGGGATGTGATGCTAGGTGGGTGGCATGTGATGCTAGGTGGGTGGGATGTGATGCTAGGTGGGTGGGATGTGATGCTAGGTGGGTGGGATGTGATGCTAGGTGGGTGGGATGTGATGCTAGGTGGGTGGCATGTGATGCTAGGTGGGTGGGATGTGATGCTAGGTGGGTGGATGTGATGCTAGGTGGGTGGGATGTGATGCTAGGTGGGTGGGATGTGATGCTAGGTGGGTGGGATGTGATGCTAGGTGGGTGGGATGTGATGCTAGGTGGTGGGGATGTGATGCTAGGTGGGTGGGATGTGATGCTAGGTGGGTGGCATGTGATGCTAGGTGGGTGGCATGTGATGCTAGGTGGGTGGGATGTGATGCTAGGTGGGTGGGATGTGATGCTAGGTGGGTGGCATGTGATGCTAGGTGGGTGGCATGTGATGCTAGGTGGGTGGGATGTGATGCTAGGTGGGTGGCATGTGATGCTAGGTGGGTGGGATGTGATGCTAGGTGGGTGGGATGTGATGCTAGGTGGGTGGGATGTGATGCTAGGTGGGTGGGATGTGATGCTAGGTGGGTGGGATGTGATGCTAGGTGGGTGGGATGTGATGCTAGGTGGGTGGGATGTGATGCTAGGTGGGTGGGATGTGATGCTAGGTGGGTGGGATGTGATGCTAGGTGGGTGGGATGTGATGCTAGGTGGGTGGGATGTGATGCTAGGTGGGTGGGATGTGATGCTAGGTGGGTGGCATGTGATGCTAGGTGGGTGGCATGTGATGCTAGGTGGGTGGGATGTGATGCTAGGTGGGTGGGATGTGATGCTAGGTGGGTGGGATGTGATGCTAGGTGGGTGGGATGTGATGCTAGGTGGGTGGCATGTGATGCTAGGTGGGTGGGATGTGATGCTAGGTGGGTGGGATGTGATGCTAGGTGGGTGGGATGTGATGCTAGGTGGGTGGGATGTGATGCTAGGTGGGTGGGATGTGATGCTAGGTGGGTGGGATGTGATGCTAGGTGGGTGGGATGTGATGCTAGGTGGGTGGGATGTGATGCTAGGTGGGTGGGATGTGATGCTAGGTGGGTGGGATGTGATGCTAGGTGGGTGGCATGTGATGCTAGGTGGGTGGCATGTGATGCTAGGTGGGTGGGATGTGATGCTAGGTGGGTGGATGTGATGCTAGGTGGGTGGGATGTGATGCTAGGTGGGTGGCATGTGATGCTAGGTGGGTGGCATGTGATGCTAGGTGGGTGGGATGTGATGCTAGGTGGGTGGGATGTGATGCTAGGTGGGTGGCATGTGATGCTAGGTGGGTGGGATGTGATGCTAGGTGGGTGGCATGTGATGCTAGGTGGGTGGATGTGATGCTAGGTGGGTGGCATGTGATGCTAGGTGGGTGGGATGTGATGCTAGGTGGGTGGGATGTGATGCTAGGTGGGTGGCATGTGATGCTAGGTGGGTGGCATGTGATGCTAGGTGGGTGGGATGTGATGCTAGGTGGGTGGGATGTGATGCTAGGTGGGTGGGATGTGATGCTAGGTGGGTGGGATGTGATGCTAGGTGGGTGGGATGTGATGCTAGGTGGGTGGGATGTGATGCTAGGTGGGTGGGATGTGATGCTAGGTGGGTGGGATGTGATGCTAGGTGGGTGGCATGTGATGCTAGGTGGGTGGGATGTGATGCTAGGTGGGTGGGCATGTGATGCTAGGTGGGTGGGATGTGATGCTAGGTGGGTGGGATGTGATGCTAGGTGGGTGGGATGTGATGCTAGGTGGGTGGGATGTGATGCTAGGTGGGTGGGATGTGATGCTAGGTGGGTGGGATGTGATGCTAGGTGGGTGGGATGTGATGCTAGGTGGGTGGGATGTGATGCTAGGTGGGTGGGATGTGATGCTAGGTGGGTGGGATGTGATGCTAGGTGGGTGGGATGTGATGCTAGGTGGGTGGGATGTGATGCTAGGTGGGTGGGATGTGATGCTAGGTGGGTGGATGTGATGCTAGGTGGGTGGGATGTGATGCTAGGTGGGTGGGATGTGATGCTAGGTGGGTGGGATGTGATGCTAGGTGGGTGGGATGTGATGCTAGGTGGGTGGCATGTGATGCTAGGTGGGTGGCATGTGATGCTAGGTGGGTGGCATGTGATGCTAGGTGGGTGGCATGTGATGCTAGGTGGGTGGCATGTGATGCTAGGGGTGGTGGATGTGATGCTAGGTGGGTGGCATGTGATGCTAGGTGGGTGGGATGTGATGCTAGGTGGGTGGCATGTGATGCTAGGTGGGTGGGATGTGATGCTAGGTGGGGGTGGCATGTGATGCTAGGTGGGTGGGATGTGATGCTAGGTGGGTGGGATGTGATGCTAGGTGGGTGGGATGTGATGCTAGGTGGGTGGGATGTGATGCTAGGTGGGTGGCATGTGATGCTAGGTGGGTGGGATGTGATGCTAGGTGGGTGGCATGTGATGCTAGGTGGGTGCATGTGATGCTAGGTGGGTGGCATGTGATGCTAGGTGGGTGGGATGTGATGCTAGGTGGGTGGCATGTGATGCTAGGTGGGTGGGATGTGATGCTAGGTGGGTGGGATGTGATGCTAGGTGGGTGGCATGTGATGCTAGGTGGGTGGGATGTGATGCTAGGTGGGTGGCATGTGATGCTAGGTGGGTGGGATGTGATGCTAGGTGGGTGGCATGTGATGCTAGGTGGGTGGGATGTGATGCTAGGTGGGTGGCATGTGATGCTAGGTGGGTGGCATGTGATGCTAGTGGGTGGGATGTGATGCTAGGTGGGTGGCATGTGATGCTAGGTGGGTGGGATTTGATGCTAGGTGGGTGGCATGTGATGCTAGGTGGGTGGCATGTGATGCTAGGTGGGTGGGATGTGATGCTAGGTGGGTGGGATGTGATGCTAGGTGGGTGGGATGTGATGCTAGGTGGGTGGCATGTGATGCTAGGTGGGTGGGATGTGATGCTAGGTGGGTGGCATGTGATGCTAGGTGGGTGGGATGTGATGCTAGGTGGGTGGCATGTGATGCTAGGTGGGTGGCATGTGATGCTAGGTGGGTGGGATGTGATGCTAGGTGGGTGGGATGTGATGCTAGGTGGGTGGGATGTGATGCTAGGTGGGTGGCATGTGATGCTAGGTGGGTGGGATGTGATGCTAGGTGGGTGGGATGTGATGCTAGGTGGGTGGGATGTGATGCTAGGTGGGTGGGATGTGATGCTAGGTGGGTGGGATGTGATGCTAGGTGGGTGGCATGTGATGCTAGGTGGGTGGCATGTGATGCTAGGTGGGTGGCATGTGATGCTAGGTGGGTGGGATGTGATGCTAGGTGGGTGGGATGTGATGCTAGGTGGGTGGGATGTGATGCTAGGTGGGTGGGATGTGATGCTAGGTGGGTGGCATGTGATGCTAGGTGGGTGGCATGTGATGCTAGGTGGGTGGGATGTGATGCTAGGTGGGTGGGATGTGATGCTAGGTGGGTGGCATGTGATGCTAGGTGGGTGGGATGTGATGCTAGGTGGGTGGGATGTGATGCTAGGTGGGTGGCATGTGATGCTAGGTGGGTGGCATGTGATGCTAGGTGGGTGGGATGTGATGCTAGGTGGGTGGGATGTGATGCTAGGTGGGTGGGATGTGATGCTAGGTGGGTGGGATGTGATGCTAGGTGGGTGGCATGTGATGCTAGGTGGGTGGGATGTGATGCTAGGTGGGTGGGATGTGATGCTAGGTGGTGGGATGTGATGCTAGGTGGGTGGGATGTGATGCTAGGTGGGTGGGATGTGATGCTAGGTGGGTGGGATGTGATGCTAGGTGGGTGGGATGTGATGCTAGGTGGGTGGCATGTGATGCTAGGTGGGTGGCATGTGATGCTAGGTGGGTGGGATGTGATGCTAGGTGGGTGGGATGTGATGCTAGGTGGGTGGCATGTGATGCTAGGTGGGTGGGATGTGATGCTAGGTGGGTGGGATGTGATGCTAGGTGGGTGGGATGTGATGCTAGGTGGGTGGGATGTGATGCTAGGTGGGTGGGATGTGATGCTAGGTTGGTGGGATGTGATGCTAGGTGGGTGGGATGTGATGCTAGGTGGGTGGATGTGATGCTAGGTGGGTGGATGTGATGCTAGGTGGGTGGGATGTGATGCTAGGTGGGTGGGATGTGATGCTAGGTGGGTGGGATGTGATGCTAGGTGGGTGGGATGTGATGCTAGGTGGGTGGGATGTGATGCTAGGTGGGTGGCATGTGATGCTAGGTGGGTGGGATGTGATGCTAGGTGGGTGGGATGTGATGCTAGGTGGGTGGCATGTGATGCTAGGTGGGTGGCATGTGATGCTAGGTGGGTGGGATGTGATGCTAGGTGGGTGGGATGTGATGCTAGGTGGGTGGCATGTGATGCTAGGTGGGTGGGATGTGATGCTAGGTGGGTGGGATGTGATGCTAGGTGGGTGGCATGTGATGCTAGGTGGGTGGCATGTGATGCTAGGTGGGTGGCATGTGATGCTAGGTGGGTGGGATGTGATGCTAGGTGGGTGGGATGTGATGCTAGGTGGGTGGGATGTGATGCTAGGTGGGTGGGATGTGATGCTAGGTGGGTGGGATGTGATGCTAGGTGGGTGGCATGTGATGCTAGGTGGGTGGGATGTGATGCTAGGTGGGTGGGATGTGATGCTAGGTGGGTGGGATGTGATGCTAGGTGGGTGGGATGTGATGCTAGGTGGGTGGGATGTGATGCTAGGTGGGTGGGATGTGATGCTAGGTGGGTGGCATGTGATGCTAGGTGGGTGGGATGTGATGCTAGGTGGGTGGGATGTGATGCTAGGTGGGTGGGATGTGATGCTAGGTGGGTGGGATGTGATGCTAGGTGGGTGGCATGTGATGCTAGGTGGGTGGCATGTGATGCTAGGTGGGTGGCATGTGATGCTAGGTGGGTGGGATGTGATGCTAGGTGGGTGGGATGTGATGCTAGGTGGGTGGGATGTGATGCTAGGTGGGTGGGATGTGATGCTAGGTGGGTGGGATGTGATGCTAGGTGGGTGGGATGTGATGCTAGGTGGGTGGGATGTGATGCTAGGTGGGTGGGATGTGATGCTAGGTGGGTGGGATGTGATGCTAGGTGGGTGGCATGTGATGCTAGGTGGGTGGCATGTGATGCTAGGTGGGTGGGATGTGATGCTAGGTGGGTGGGATGTGATGCTAGGTGGGTGGGATGTGATGCTAGGTGGGTGGGATGTGATGCTAGGTGGGTGGCATGTGATGCTAGGTGGGTGGCATGTGATGCTAGGTGGGTGGGATGTGATGCTAGGTGGGTGGGATGTGATGCTAGGTGGGTGGCATGTGATGCTAGGTGGGTGGGATGTGATGCTAGGTGGGTGGCATGTGATGCTAGGTGGGTGGGATGTGATGCTAGGTGGGTGGGATGTGATGCTAGGTGGGTGGGATGTGATGCTAGGTGGGTGGGATGTGATGCTAGGTGGGTGGGATGTGATGCTAGGTGGGTGGGATGTGATGCTAGGTGGGTGGGATGTGATGCTAGGTGGGTGGGATGTGATGCTAGGTGGGTGGGATGTGATGCTAGGTGGGTGGGATGTGATGCTAGGTGGGTGGCATGTGATGCTAGGTGGGTGGGATGTGATGCTAGGTGGGTGGGATGTGATGCTAGGTGGGTGGGATGTGATGCTAGGTGGGTGGGATGTGATGCTAGGTGGGTGGCATGTGATGCTAGGTGGGTGGATGTGATGCTAGGTGGGTGGGATGTGATGCTAGGTGGGTGGGATGTGATGCTAGGTGGGTGGCATGTGATGCTAGGTGGGTGGGATGTGATGCTAGGTGGGTGGGATGTGATGCTAGGTGGGTGGGATGTGATGCTAGGTGGGTGGCATGTGATGCTAGGTGGGTGGGATGTGATGCTAGGTGGGTGGCATGTGATGCTAGGTGGGTGGGATGTGATGCTAGGTGGGTGGCATGTGATGCTAGGTGGGTGGCATGTGATGCTAGGTGGGTGGGATGTGATGCTAGGTGGGTGGGATGTGATGCTAGGTGGGTGGGATGTGATGCTAGGTGGGTGGGATGTGATGCTAGGTGGGTGGGATGTGATGCTAGGTGGGTGGGATGTGATGCTAGGTGGGTGGGATGTGATGCTAGGTGGGTGGGATGTGATGCTAGGTGGGTGGGATGTGATGCTAGGTGGGTGGCATGTGATGCTAGGTGGGTGGGATGTGATGCTAGGTGGGTGGGATGTGATGCTAGGTGGGTGGCATGTGATGCTAGGTGGGTGGGATGTGATGCTAGGTGGGTGGCATGTGATGCTAGGTGGGTGGGATGTGATGCTAGGTGGGTGGGATGTGATGCTAGGTGGGTGGGATGTGATGCTAGGTGGGTGGGATGTGATGCTAGGTGGGTGGCATGTGATGCTAGGTGGGTGGGATGTGATGCTAGGTGGGTGGGATGTGATGCTAGGTGGGTGGGATGTGATGCTAGGTGGGTGGGATGTGATGCTAGGTGGGTGGGATGTGATGCTAGGTGGGTGGGATGTGATGCTAGGTGGGTGGGATGTGATGCTAGGTGGGTGGGATGTGATGCTAGGTGGGTGGGATGTGATGCTAGGTGGGTGGGATGTGATGCTAGGTGGGTGGGATGTGATGCTAGGTGGGTGGGATGTGATGCTAGGTGGGTGGGATGTGATGCTAGGTGGGTGGGATGTGATGCTAGGTGGGTGGGATGTGATGCTAGGTGGGTGGGATGTGATGCTAGGTGGGTGGGATGTGATGCTAGGTGGGTGGGGATGTGATGCTAGGTGGGTGGGATGTGATGCTAGGTGGGTGGCATGTGATGCTAGGTGGGTGGGATGTGATGCTAGGTGGGTGGGATGTGATGCTAGGTGGGTGGCATGTGATGCTAGGTGGGTGGGATGTGATGCTAGGTGGGTGGCATGTGATGCTAGGTGGGTGGGATGTGATGCTAGGTGTGGGATGTGATGCTAGGTGGGTGGCATGTGATGCTAGGTGGGTGGGATGTGATGCTAGGTGGGTGGCATGTGATGCTAGGTGGGTGGGATGTGATGCTAGGTGGGTGGGATGTGATGCTAGGTGGGTGGGATGTGATGCTAGGTGGGTGGGATGTGATGCTAGGTGGGTGGGATGTGATGCTAGGTGGGTGGGATGTGATGCTAGGTGGGTGGGATGTGATGCTAGGTGGGTGGGATGTGATGCTAGGTGGTGGGATGTGTGCTAGGTGGGTGGGATGTGATGCTAGGTGGGTGGGATGTGATGCTAGGTGGGTGGGATGTGATGCTAGGTGGGTGGGATGTGATGCTAGGTGGGTGGGATGTGATGCTAGGTGGGTGGGATGTGATGCTAGGTGGGTGGGATGTGATGCTAGGTGGGTGGGATGTGATGCTAGGTGGGTGGCATGTGATGCTAGGTGGGTGGGATGTGATGCTAGGTGGGTGGGATGTGATGCTAGGTGGGTGGGATGTGATGCTAGGTGGGTGGGATGTGATGCTAGGTGGGTGGGATGTGATGCTAGGTGGGTGGCATGTGATGCTAGGTGGGTGGGATGTGATGCTAGGTGGGTGGCATGTGATGCTAGGTGGGTGGGATGTGATGCTAGGTGGGTGGGATGTGATGCTAGGTGGGTGGGATGTGATGCTAGGTGGGGGGATGTGATGCTAGGTGGGTGGGATGTGATGCTAGGTGGGTGGGATGTGATGCTAGGTGGGTGGGATGTGATGCTAGGTGGGTGGGATGTGATGCTAGGTGGGTGGGATGTGATGCTAGGTGGGTGGGATGTGATGCTAGGTGGGTGGGATGTGATGCTAGGTGGGTGGGATGTGATGCTAGGTGGGTGGGATGTGATGCTAGGTGGGTGGGATGTGATGCTAGGTGGGTGGGATGTGATGCTAGGTGGGTGGGATGTGATGCTAGGTGGGTGGGATGTGATGCTAGGTGGGTGGCATGTGATGCTAGGTGGGTGGGATGTGATGCTAGGTGGGTGGCATGTGATGCTAGGTGGGTGGGATGTGATGCTAGGTGGGTGGGATGTGATGCTAGGTGGGTGGGATGTGATGCTAGGTGGGTGGGATGTGATGCTAGGTGGGTGGGATGTGATGCTAGGTGGGTGGGATGTGATGCTAGGTGGGTGGGATGTGATGCTAGGTGGGTGGGATGTGATGCTAGGTTGGTGGGATGTGATGCTAGGTGGGTGGCATGTGATGCTAGGTGGGTGGGATGTGATGCTAGGTGGGTGGGATGTGATGCTAGGTGGGTGGGATGTGATGCTAGGTGGGTGGCATGTGATGCTAGGTGGGTGGGATGTGATGCTAGGTGGGTGGCATGTGATGCTAGGTGGGTGGATGTGATGCTAGGTGGGTGGGATGTGATGCTAGGTGGGTGGGATGTGATGCTAGGTGGGTGGCATGTGATGCTAGGTGGGTGGGATGTGATGCTAGGTGGGTGGGATGTGATGCTAGGTGGGTGGCATGTGATGCTAGGTGGGTGGGATGTGATGCTAGGTGGGTGGGATGTGATGCTAGGTGGGTGCATGTGATGCTAGGTGGGTGGCATGTGATGCTAGGTGGGTGGGATGTGATGCTAGGTGGGTGGGATGTGATGCTAGGTGGGTGGGATGTGATGCTAGGTGGGTGGGATGTGATGCTAGGTGGGTGGGATGTGATGCTAGGTGGGTGGCATGTGATGCTAGGTGGGTGGGATGTGATGCTAGGTGGGTGGGATGTGATGCTAGGTGGGTGGGATGTGATGCTAGGTGGGTGGGATGTGATGCTAGGTGGGTGGCATGTGATGCTAGGTGGGTGGGATGTGATGCTAGGTGGGTGGATGTGATGCTAGGTGGGTGGGATGTGATGCTAGGTGGGTGGGATGTGATGCTAGGTGGGTGGGATGTGATGCTAGGTGGGTGGGATGTGATGCTAGGTGGGTGGGATGTGATGCTAGGTGGGTGGGATGTGATGCTAGGTGGGTGGGATGTGATGCTAGGTGGGTGGCATGTGATGCTAGGTGGGTGGGATGTGATGCTAGGTGGGTGGCATGTGATGCTAGGTGGGTGGGATGTGATGCTAGGTGGGTGGCATGTGATGCTAGGTGGGTGGGATGTGATGCTAGGTGGGTGGGATGTGATGCTAGGTGGGTGGGATGTGATGCTAGGTGGGTGGGATGTGATGCTAGGTGGGTGGGATGTGATGCTAGGTGGGTGGCATGTGATGCTAGGTGGGTGGGATGTGATGCTAGGTGGGTGGGATGTGATGCTAGGTGGGTGGGATGTGATGCTAGGTGGGTGGGATGTGATGCTAGGTGGGTGGGATGTGATGCTAGGTGGGTGGCATGTGATGCTAGGTGGGTGGGATGTGATGCTAGGTGGGTGGGATGTGATGCTAGGTGGGTGGGATGTGATGCTAGGTGGGTGGGATGTGATGCTAGGTGGGTGGGATGTGATGCTAGGTGGGTGGGATGTGATGCTAGGTGGGTGGGATGTGATGCTAGGTGGGTGGGATGTGATGCTAGGTGGGTGGCATGTGATGCTAGGTGGGTGGGATGTGATGCTAGGTGGGGGGATGTGATGCTAGGTGGGTGGGATGTGATGCTAGGTGGGTGGGATGTGATGCTAGGTGGGTGGGATGTGATGCTAGGTGGGTGGGATGTGATGCTAGGTGGGTGGGATGTGATGCTAGGTGGGTGGGATGTGATGCTAGGTGGGTGGGATGTGATGCTAGGTGGGTGGCATGTGATGCTAGGTGGGTGGGATGTGATGCTAGGTGGGTGGCATGTGATGCTAGGTGGGTGGGATGTGATGCTAGGTGGGTGGCATGTGATGCTAGGTGGGTGGGATGTGATGCTAGGTGGGTGGGATGTGATGCTAGGTGGGTGGGATGTGATGCTAGGTGGGTGGCATGTGATGCTAGGTGGGTGGGATGTGATGCTAGGTGGGTGGGATGTGATGCTAGGTGGGTGGGATGTGATGCTAGGTGGGTGGATGTGATGCTAGGTGGGTGGGATGTGATGCTAGGTGGGTGGGATGTGATGCTAGGTGGGTGGCATGTGATGCTAGGTGGGTGGGATGTGATGCTAGGTGGGTGGGATGTGATGCTAGGTGGGTGGGATGTGATGCTAGGTGGGTGGGATGTGATGCTAGGTGGGTGGGATGTGATGCTAGGTGGGTGGCATGTGATGCTAGGTGGGTGGGATGTGATGCTAGGTGGGTGGGATGTGATGCTAGGTGGGTGGCATGTGATGCTAGGTGGGTGGGATGTGATGCTAGGTGGGTGGCATGTGATGCTAGGTGGGTGGGATGTGATGCTAGGTGGGTGGGATGTGATGCTAGGTGGGTGGGATGTGATGCTAGGTGGGTGGATGTGATGCTAGGTGGGTGGGATGTGATGCTAGGTGGGTGGGATGTGATGCTAGGTGGGTGGGATGTGATGCTAGGTGGGTGGGATGTGATGCTAGGTGGGTGGGATGTGATGCTAGGTGGGTGGGATGTGATGCTAGGTGGGTGGGATGTGATGCTAGGTGGGTGGGATGTGATGCTAGGTGGGTGGGATGTGATGCTAGGTGGGTGGCATGTGATGCTAGGTGGGTGGGATGTGATGCTAGGTGGGTGGATGTGATGCTAGGTGGGTGGCATGTGATGCTAGGTGGGTGGGATGTGATGCTAGGTGGGTGGGATGTGATGCTAGGTGGGTGGGATGTGATGCTAGGTGGGTGGCATGTGATGCTAGGTGGGTGGGATGTGATGCTAGGTGGGTGGGATGTGATGCTAGGTGGGTGGGATGTGATGCTAGGTGGGTGGGATGTGATGCTAGGTGGGTGGGATGTGATGCTAGGTGGGTGGGATGTGATGCTAGGTGGGTGGGATGTGATGCTAGGTGGGTGGGATGTGATGCTAGGTGGGTGGGATGTGATGCTAGGTGGGTGGGATGTGATGCTAGGTGGGTGGGATGTGATGCTAGGTGGGTGGGATGTGATGCTAGGTGGGTGGGATGTGATGCTAGGTGGGTGGGATGTGATGCTAGGTGGGTGGCATGTGATGCTAGGTGGGTGGGATGTGATGCTAGGTGGGTGGGATGTGATGCTAGGTGGGGTGGGATGTGATGCTAGGTGGGTGGCATGTGATGCTAGGTGGGTGGGATGTGATGCTAGGTGGGTGGGATGTGATGCTAGGTGGGTGGGATGTGATGCTAGGTGGGTGGGATGTGATGCTAGGTGGGTGGGATGTGATGCTAGGTGGGTGGGATGTGATGCTAGGTGGGTGGGATGTGATGCTAGGTGGGTGGGATGTGATGCTAGGTGGGTGGGATGTGATGCTAGGTGGGTGGGATGTGATGCTAGGTGGGTGGGATGTGATGCTAGGTGGGTGGGATGTGATGCTAGGTGGGTGGGATGTGATGCTAGGTGGGTGGGATGTGATGCTAGGTGGGTGGGATGTGATGCTAGGTGGGTGGGATGTGATGCTAGGTGGGTGGCATGTGATGCTAGGTGGGTGGCATGTGATGCTAGGTGGGTGGGATGTGATGCTAGGTGGGTGGGATGTGATGCTAGGTGGGTGGGATGTGATGCTAGGTGGGTGGCATGTGATGCTAGGTGGGTGGGATGTGATGCTAGGTGGGTGGGATGTGATGCTAGGTGGGTGGATGTGATGCTAGGTGGGTGGCATGTGATGCTAGGTGGGTGGGATGTGATGCTAGGTGGGTGGGATGTGATGCTAGGTGGGTGGGATGTGATGCTAGGTGGGTGGGATGTGATGCTAGGTGGGTGGGATGTGATGCTAGGTGGGTGGGATGTGATGCTAGGTGGGTGGGATGTGATGCTAGGTGGGTGGGATGTGATGCTAGGTGGGTGGCATGTGATGCTAGGTGGGTGGCATGTGATGCTAGGTGGGTGGGATGTGATGCTAGGTGGGTGGGATGTGATGCTAGGTGGGTGGGATGTGATGCTAGGTGGGTGGGATGTGATGCTAGGTGGGTGGCATGTGATGCTAGGTGGGTGGGATGTGATGCTAGGTGGGTGGGATGTGATGCTAGGTGGGTGGGATGTGATGCTAGGTGGGTGGATGTGATGCTAGGTGGGTGGGATGTGATGCTAGGTGGGTGGCATGTGATGCTAGGTGGGTGGGTGGATGTGATGCTAGGTGGGTGGCATGTGATGCTAGGTGGGTGGGATGTGATGCTAGGTGGGTGGCATGTGATGCTAGGTGGGTGGGATGTGATGCTAGGTGGGTGGGATGTGATGCTAGGTGGGTGGGATGTGATGCTAGGTGGGTGGCATGTGATGCTAGGTGGGTGGGATGTGATGCTAGGTGGGTGGGATGTGATGCTAGGTGGGTGGGATGTGATGCTAGGTGGGTGGGATGTGATGCTAGGTGGGTGGATGTGATGCTAGGTGGGTGGGATGTGATGCTAGGTGGGTGGGATGTGATGCTAGGTGGGTGGGATGTGATGCTAGGTGGGTGGGATGTGATGCTAGGTGGGTGGGATGTGATGCTAGGTGGGTGGGATGTGATGCTAGGTGGGTGGGATGTGATGCTAGGTGGGTGGGATGTGATGCTAGGTGGGTGGGATGTGATGCTAGGTGGGTGGGATGTGATGCTAGGTGGGTGGGATGTGATGCTAGGTGGGTGGCATGTGATGCTAGGTGGGTGGATGTGATGCTAGGTGGGTGGCATGTGATGCTAGGTGGGTGGGATGTGATGCTAGGTGGGTGGGATGTGATGCTAGGTGGGTGGGATGTGATGCTAGGTGGGTGGCATGTGATGCTAGGTGGGTGGGATGTGATGCTAGGTGGGTGGGATGTGATGCTAGGTGGGTGGGATGTGATGCTAGGTGGGTGGGATGTGATGCTAGGTGGGTGGGATGTGATGCTAGGTGGGTGGCATGTGATGCTAGGTGGGTGGGATGTGATGCTAGGTGGGTGGCATGTGATGCTAGGTGGGTGGCATGTGATGCTAGGTGGGTGGCATGTGATGCTAGGTGGGTGGGATGTGATGCTAGGTGGGTGGGATGTGATGCTAGGTGGGTGGGATGTGATGCTAGGTGGGTGGCATGTGATGCTAGGTGGGTGGCATGTGATGCTAGGTGGGTGGGATGTGATGCTAGGTGGGTGGCATGTGATGCTAGGTGGGTGGCATGTGATGCTAGGTGGGTGGCATGTGATGCTAGGTGGGTGGGATGTGATGCTAGGTGGGTGGGATGTGATGCTAGGTGGGTGGGATGTGATGCTAGGTGGGTGGGATGTGATGCTAGGTGGGTGGGATGTGATGCTAGGTGGGTGGGATGTGATGCTAGGTGGGTGGGATGTGATGCTAGGTGGGTGGCATGTGATGCTAGGTGGGTGGCATGTGATGCTAGGTGGGTGGCATGTGATGCTAGGTGGGTGGGATGTGATGCTAGGTGGGTGGGATGTGATGCTAGGTGGGTGGGATGTGATGCTAGGTGGGTGGCATGTGATGCTAGGTGGGTGGGATGTGATGCTAGGTGGGTGGGATGTGATGCTAGGTGGGTGGGATGTGATGCTAGGTGGGTGGGATGTGATGCTAGGTGGGTGGGATGTGATGCTAGGTGGGTGGCATGTGATGCTAGGTGGGTGGCATGTGATGCTAGGTGGGTGGGATGTGATGCTAGGTGGGTGGGATGTGATGCTAGGTGGGTGGGATGTGATGCTAGGTGGGTGGGATGTGATGCTAGGTGGGTGGGATGTGATGCTAGGTGGGTGGGATGTGATGCTAGGTGGGTGGGATGTGATGCTAGGTGGGTGGGATGTGATGCTAGGTGGGTGGCATGTGATGCTAGGTGGGTGGATGTGATGCTAGGTGGGTGGGATGTGATGCTAGGTGGGTGGGATGTGATGCTAGGTGGGTGGGATGTGATGCTAGGTGGGTGGGATGTGATGCTAGGTGGGTGGGATGTGATGCTAGGTGGGTGGCATGTGATGCTAGGTGGGTGGCATGTGATGCTAGGTGGGTGGGATGTGATGCTAGGTGGGTGGGATGTGATGCTAGGTGGGTGGGATGTGATGCTAGGTGGGTGGGATGTGATGCTAGGTGGGTGGGATGTGATGCTAGGTGGGTGGGATGTGATGCTAGGTGGGTGGGATGTGATGCTAGGTGGGTGGGATGTGATGCTAGGTGGGTGGGATGTGATGCTAGGTGGGTGGGATGTGATGCTAGGTGGGTGGGATGTGATGCTAGGTGGGTGGGATGTGATGCTAGGTGGGTGGGATGTGATGCTAGGTGGGTGGCATGTGATGCTAGGTGGGTGGGATGTGATGCTAGGTGGGTGGGATGTGATGCTAGGTGGGTGGGATGTGATGCTAGGTGGGTGGGATGTGATGCTAGGTGGGTGGGATGTGATGCTAGGTGGGTGGCATGTGATGCTAGGTGGGTGGCATGTGATGCTAGGTGGGTGGGATGTGATGCTAGGTGGGTGGGATGTGATGCTAGGTGGGTGGGATGTGATGCTAGGTGGGTGGGATGTGATGCTAGGTGGGTGGGATGTGATGCTAGGTGGGTGGCATGTGATGCTAGGTGGGTGGGATGTGATGCTAGGTGGGTGGGATGTGATGCTAGGTGGGTGGCATGTGATGCTAGGTGGGTGGGATGTGATGCTAGGTGGGTGGGATGTGATGCTAGGTGGGTGGGATGTGATGCTAGGTGGGTGGGATGTGATGCTAGGTGGGTGGGATGTGATGCTAGGTGGGTGGGATGTGATGCTAGGTGGGTGGGATGTGATGCTAGGTGGGTGGGATGTGATGCTAGGTGGGTGGCATGTGATGCTAGGTGGGTGGCATGTGATGCTAGGTGGGTGGCATGTGATGCTAGGTGGGTGGGATGTGATGCTAGGTGGGTGGCATGTGATGCTAGTGGGTGGGGATGTGATGCTAGGTGGGTGGGATGTGATGCTAGGTGGGTGGCATGTGATGCTAGGTGGGTGGCATGTGATGCTAGGTGGGTGGCATGTGATGCTAGGTGGGTGGGATGTGATGCTAGGTGGGTGGCATGTGATGCTAGGTGGGTGGGATGTGATGCTAGGTGGGTGGCATGTGATGCTAGGTGGGTGGGATGTGATGCTAGGTGGGTGGCATGTGATGCTAGGGGTGGGTGGATGTGATGCTAGGTGGGTGGGATGTGATGCTAGGTGGGTGGGATGTGATGCTAGGTGGGTGGATGTGATGCTAGGTGGGTGGATGTGATGCTAGGTGGGTGGGATGTGATGCTAGGTGGGTGGCATGTGATGCTAGGTGGGTGGGATGTGATGCTAGGTGGGTGGCATGTGATGCTAGGTGGGTGGGATGTGATGCTAGGTGGGTGGGATGTGATGCTAGGTGGGTGGGATGTGATGCTAGGTGGGTGGGATGTGATGCTAGGGGGTGGGATGTGATGCTAGGTGGGTGGGATGTGATGCTAGGTGGGTGGATGTGATGCTAGGTGGGTGGGATGTGATGCTAGGTGGGTGGCATGTGATGCTAGGTGGGTGGGATGTGATGCTAGGTGGGTGGGATGTGATGCTAGGTGGGTGGGATGTGATGCTAGGTGGGTGGGATGTGATGCTAGGTGGGTGGCATGTGATGCTAGGTGGGTGGCATGTGATGCTAGGTTGGTGGGATGTGATGCTAGGTGGGTGGGATGTGATGCTAGGTGGGTGGGATGTGATGCTAGGTGGGTGGGATGTGATGCTAGGTGGGTGGCATGTGATGCTAGGTGGGTGGATGTGATGCTAGGTGGGTGGGATGTGATGCTAGGTGGGTGGGATGTGATGCTAGGTGGGTGGGATGTGATGCTAGGTGGGTGGCATGTGATGCTAGGTGGGTGGGATGTGATGCTAGGTGGGTGGCATGTGATGCTAGGTGGGTGGGATGTGATGCTAGGTGGGTGGGATGTGATGCTAGGTGGGTGGGATGTGATGCTAGGTGGGTGGGCATGTGATGCTAGGTGGGTGGCATGTGATGCTAGGTGGGTGGGATGTGATGCTAGGTGGGTGGGATGTGATGCTAGTGGTGGTGGGATGTGATGCTAGGTGGGTGGGATGTGATGCTAGGTGGGTGGGATGTGATGCTAGGTGGGTGGGATGTGATGCTAGGTGGGTGGCATGTGATGCTAGGTGGGTGGGATGTGATGCTAGGTGGGTGGGATGTGATGCTAGGTGGGTGGGATGTGATGCTAGGTGGGTGGCATGTGATGCTAGGTGGGTGGGATGTGATGCTAGGTGGGTGGGATGTGATGCTAGGTGGGTGGGATGTGATGCTAGGTGGGTGGGATGTGATGCTAGGTGGGTGGCATGTGATGCTAGGTTGGTGGGATGTGATGCTAGGTGGGTGGGATGTGATGCTAGGTGGGTGGCATGTGATGCTAGGTGGGTGGGATGTGATGCTAGGTGGGTGGCATGTGATGCTAGGTGGGTGGGATGTGATGCTAGGTGGGTGGGATGTGATGCTAGGTGGGTGGCATGTGATGCTAGGTGGGTGGGATGTGATGCTAGGTGGGTGGGATGTGATGCTAGGTGGGTGGGATGTGATGCTAGGTGGGTGGGATGTGATGCTAGGTGGGTGGGATGTGATGCTAGGTGGGTGGGATGTGATGCTAGGTGGGTGGGATGTGATGCTAGGTGGGTGGGATGTGATGCTAGGTGGGTGGGATGTGATGCTAGGTGGGTGGATGTGATGCTAGGTGGGTGGCATGTGATGCTAGGTGGGTGGGATGTGATGCTAGGTGGGTGGGATGTGATGCTAGGTGGGTGGGATGTGATGCTAGGTGGGTGGGATGTGATGCTAGGTGGGGGGATGTGATGCTAGGTGGGTGGGATGTGATGCTAGGTGGGTGGGATGTGATGCTAGGTGGGTGGGATGTGATGCTAGGTGGGTGGGATGTGATGCTAGGTGGGTGGGATGTGATGCTAGGTGGGTGGGATGTGATGCTAGGTGGGTGGGATGTGATGCTAGGTGGGTGGGATGTGATGCTAGGTGGGTGATGTGATGCTAGGTGGGTGGGATGTGATGCTAGGTGGGTGGGATGTGATGCTAGTGTGGGATGTGATGCTAGGTGGGTGGGATGTGATGCTAGGTGGGTGGGATGTGATGCTAGGTGGGTGGGATGTGATGCTAGTGGTGGGTGCATGTGATGCTAGGTGGGTGGGATGTGATGCTAGGTGGGTGGGATGTGATGCTAGGTGGGTGGGATGTGATGCTAGGTGGGTGGCATGTGATGCTAGGTGGGTGGGATGTGATGCTAGGTGGGTGGGATGTGATGCTAGGTGGGTGGCATGTGATGCTAGGTGGGTGGGATGTGATGCTAGGTGGGTGGGATGTGATGCTAGGTGGGTGGGATGTGATGCTAGGTGGGTGGGATGTGATGCTAGGTGGGTGGGATGTGATGCTAGGTGGGTGGGATGTGATGGGGGGGGGGGATGTGATGCTAGGTGGGTGGGATGTGATGCTAGGTGGGTGGGATGTGATGCTAGGTGGGTGGGATGTGATGCTAGGTGGGTGGGATGTGATGCTAGGTGGGTGGCATGTGATGCTAGGTGGGTGGGATGTGATGCTAGGTGGGTGGGATGTGATGCTAGGTGGGTGGCATGTGATGCTAGGTGGGTGGCATGTGATGCTAGGTGGGTGGGATGTGATGCTAGGTGGGTGGGATGTGATGCTAGGTGGGTGGGATGTGATTCTAGGTGGGTGGCATGTGATGCTAGGTGGGTGGCATGTGATGCTAGGTGGGTGGCATGTGATGCTAGGTGGGTGGGATGTGATGATAGGTGGGTGGGATGTGATGCTAGGTGGGTGGGATGTGATGCTAGGTGGGTGGGATGTGATGCTAGGTGGGTGGGATGTGATGCTAGGTGGGTGGGATGTGATGCTAGGTGGGTGGGATGTGATGCTAGGTGGGTGGCATGTGATGCTAGGTGGGTGGCATGTGATGCTAGGTGGGTGGCATGTGATGCTAGGTGGGTGGCATGTGATGCTAGGTGGGTGGCATGTGATGCTAGGTGGGGTGGGATGTGATGATAGTGTGGGTGGGATGTGATGCTAGGTGGGTGGGATGTGATTCTAGGTGGGTGGGCATGTGATGCTAGGTGGGTGGCATGTGATGCTAGGTGGGTGGCATGTGATGCTAGGTGGGTGGGATGTGATGCTAGGTGGGTGGGATGTGATGCTAGGTGGGTGGGATGTGATGCTAGGTGGGTGGGATGTGATGCTAGGTGGGTGGGATGTGATGCTAGGTGGGTGGGATGTGATGCTAGGTGGGTGGGATGTGATGCTAGGTGGGTGGCATGTGATGCTAGGTGGGTGGGATGTGATGCTAGGTGGGTGGGATGTGATGCTAGGTGGGTGGCATGTGATGCTAGGTGGGTGGGATGTGATGCTAGGTGGTGGGATGTGATGCTAGGTGGGTGGGATGTGATGCTAGGTGGGTGGCATGTGATGCTAGGTGGGTGGGATGTGATGCTAGGTGGGTGGGATGTGATGCTAGGTGGGTGGCATGTGATGCTAGGTTGGTGGGATGTGATGCTAGGTGGGTGGGATGTGATGCTAGGTGGGTGGGATGTGATGCTAGGTGGGTGGGATGTGATGCTAGGTGGGTGGCATGTGATGCTAGGTGGGTGGGATGTGATGCTAGGTGGGTGGGATGTGATGCTAGGTGGGTGGGATGTGATGCTAGGTGGGTGGCATGTGATGCTAGGTGGGTGGCATGTGATGCTAGGTGGGTGGCATGTGATGCTAGGTGGGTGGGATGTGATGCTAGGTGGGTGGGATGTGATGCTAGGTGGGTGGGATGTGATGCTAGGTGGGTGGCATGTGATGCTAGGTGGGTGGCATGTGATGCTAGGTGGGTGGCATGTGATGCTAGGTGGGTGGGATGTGATGCTAGGTGGGTGGGATGTGATGCTAGGTGGGTGGGATGTGATGCTAGGTGGGTGGCATGTGATGCTAGGTGGGTGGGATGTGATGCTAGGTGGGTGGGATGTGATGCTATGCTAGTGGGTGGGATGTGATGCTAGGTGGGTGGCATGTGATGCTAGGTGGGTGGCATGTGATGCTAGGTGGGTGGCATGTGATGCTAGGTGGGTGGGATGTGATGCTAGGTGGGTGGGATGTGATGCTAGGTGGGTGGGATGTGATGCTAGGTGGGTGGGATGTGATGCTAGGTGGGTGGATGTGATGCTAGGTGGGTGGGATGTGATGCTAGGTGGGTGGGATGTGATGCTAGGTGGGTGGGATGTGATGCTAGGTGGGTGGGATGTGATGCTAGGTGGGTGGGATGTGATGCTAGGTGGGTGGCATGTGATGCTAGGTGGGTGGGATGTGATGCTAGGTGGGTGGGATGTGATGCTAGGTGGGTGGGATGTGATGCTAGGTGGGTGGGATGTGATGCTAGGTGGGTGGGATGTGATGCTAGGTGGGTGGGATGTGATGCTAGGTGGGTGGCATGTGATGCTAGGTGGGTGGGATGTGATGCTAGGTGGGTGGGATGTGATGCTAGGTGGGTGGATGTGATGCTAGGTGGGTGGGATGTGATGCTAGGTGGGTGGGATGTGATGCTAGGTGGGTGGGATGTGATGCTAGGTGGGTGGCATGTGATGCTAGGTGGGTGGGATGTGATGCTAGGTGGGTGGCATGTGATGCTAGGTGGGTGGCATGTGATGCTAGGTGGGTGGCATGTGATGCTAGGTGGGTGGCATGTGATGCTAGGTGGGTGGGATGTGATGCTAGGTGGGTGGGATGTGATGCTAGGTGGGTGGGATGTGATTCTAGGTGGGTGGCATGTGATGCTAGGTGGGTGGCATGTGATGCTAGGTGGGTGGCATGTGATGCTAGGTGGGTGGGATGTGATGCTAGGTGGGTGGGATGTGATGCTAGGTGGGTGGGATGTGATGCTAGGTGGGTGGGATGTGATGCTAGGTGGGTGGGATGTGATGCTAGGTGGGTGGGATGTGATGCTAGGTGGGTGGGATGTGATGCTAGGTGGGTGGCATGTGATGCTAGGTGGGTGGGATGTGATGCTAGGTGGGTGGATGTGATGCTAGGTGGGTGGGATGTGATGCTAGGTGGGTGGGATGTGATGCTAGGTGGGTGGCATGTGATGCTAGGTGGGTGGGATGTGATGCTAGGTGGTGGTGGCATGTGATGCTAGGTGGGTGGGATGTGATGCTAGTGGGTGGCATGTGATGCTAGGTGGGTGGGATGTGATGCTAGGTGGGTGGCATGTGATGCTAGGTGGGTGGGATGTGATGCTAGGTGGGTGGGATGTGATGCTAGGTGGGTGGGATGTGATGCTTGGTGGGTGGCATGTGATGCTAGGTGGGTGGGATGTGATGCTAGGTGGGTGGCATGTGATGCTAGGTGGGTGGGATGTGATGCTAGGTGGGTGGCATGTGATGCTAGGTGGGTGGGATGTGATGCTAGGTGGGTGGGATGTGATGCTAGGTGGGTGGGATGTGATGCTAGGTGGGTGGGATGTGATGCTAGGTGGGTGGCATGTGATGCTAGGTGGGTGGGATGTGATGCTAGGTGGGTGGCATGTGATGCTAGGTGGGTGGCATGTGATGCTAGGTGGGTGGGATGTGATGCTAGGTGGGTGGGATGTGATGCTAGGTGGGTGGGATGTGATGCTAGGTGGGTGCATGTGATGCTAGGTGGGTGGGATGTGATGCTAGGTGGGTGGGATGTGATGCTAGGTGGGTGGCATGTGATGCTAGGTGGGTGGGATGTGATGCTAGGTGGGTGGGATGTGATGCTAGGTGGGTGGGATGTGATGCTAGGTGGGTGGGATGTGATGCTAGGTGGGTGGGATGTGATGCTAGGTGGGTGGGATGTGATGCTAGGTGGGTGGGATGTGATGCTAGGTGGGTGGGATGTGATGCTAGGTGGGTGGGATGTGATGCTAGGTGGGTGGGATGTGATGCTAGGTGGGTGGCATGTGATGCTAGGTGGTGGCATGTGATGCTAGGTGGGTGGCATGTGATGCTAGGTGGGTGGCATGTGATGCTAGGTGGGTGGGATGTGATGCTAGGTGGGTGGCATGTGATGCTAGGTGGGTGGCATGTGATGCTAGGTGGGTGGGATGTGATGCTAGGTGGTGGGATGTGATTCTAGGTGGGTGGCATGTGATGCTAGGTGGTGGGATGTGATGCTAGGTGGGTTCATGTGATGGGGGGGGGTGATGCTAGGTGGGTGGGATGTGATGCTAGGTGGGTGGGATGTGATGCTAGGTGGGTGGGATGTGATGCTAGGTGGGTGGGATGTGATGCTAGGTGGGTGGGATGTGATGCTAGGTGGGTGGGATGTGATGCTAGGTGGGTGGCATGTGATGCTAGGTGGGTGGCATGTGATGCTAGGTGGGTGGGATGTGATGCTAGGTGGGTGGCATGTGATGCTAGGTGGGTGGGATGTGATGCTAGGTGGGTGGGATGTGATGCTAGGTGGGTGGGATGTGATGCTAGGTGGGTGGGATGTGATGCTAGGTGGGTGGGATGTGATGCTAGGTGGTGGGATGTGATGCTAGGTGGGTGGGATGTGATGCTAGGTGGTGGGATGTGATGCTAGGTGGGTGGCATGTGATGCTAGGTGGGTGGGATGTGATGCTAGGTGGGTGCATGTGATGCTAGGTGGGTGGGATGTGATGCTAGGTGGGTGGGATGTGATGCTAGGTGGGTGGCATGTGATGCTAGGGTGGGTGGCATGTGATGCTAGGTGGGGGGATGTGATGCTAGGTGGGTGGGATGTGATGCTAGGTGGGTGGCATGTGATGCTAGGTGGGTGGGATGTGATGCTAGGTGGGTGGGATGTGATGCTAGGTGGGTGGGATGTGATGCTAGGTGGGTGGGATGTGATGCTAGGTGGGTGGGATGTGATGCTAGGTGGGTGGGATGTGATGCTAGGTGGGTGGGATGTGATGCTAGGTGGGTGGGATGTGATGCTAGGTGGGTGGGATGTGATGCTAGGTGGGTGGATGTGATGCTAGGTGGGTGGGATGTGATGCTAGGTGGGTGGGATGTGATGCTAGGTGGGTGGGATGTGATGCTAGGTGGGTGGGATGTGATGCTAGGTGGGTGGGATGTGATGCTAGGTGGGTGGGATGTGATGCTAGGTGGTGGGATGTGATGCTAGGTGGGTGGGATGTGATGCTAGGTGGGTGGGATGTGATGCTAGGTGGGTGGGATGTGATGCTAGGTGGGGTGGTGGGTGGGTGTGATGCTAGGTGGGTGGGATGTGATGCTAGGTGGGTGGGATGTGATGCTAGGTGGTGGCATGTGATGCTAGGTGGGTGGGATGTGATGCTAGGTGGTGGGATGTGATGCTAGGTGGGTGGGATGTGATGCTAGGTGGGTGGGATGTGATGCTAGGTGGGTGGGATGTGATGCTAGGTGGGTGGGATGTGATGCTAGGTGGGTGGGATGTGATGCTAGGGGGGTGGGATGTGATGCTAGGTGGGTGGGATGTGATGCTAGGTGGGTGGATGTGATGCTAGGTGGGTGG